GCTTATTTTGCTCGTCGCTATAAGCAAAAAGGCCGCCCTTACCTCTGTTAGCAAACCGAGAAATTTGGGTTTGCACTTCTTGTCGTCCCTTCTTTTTTGCCTCGTATTTGGCAAACTCCACGGGATGCCTCGACCTTAGGTGTTTTTCCGGACCGCCATAACCGCCGGAGACTCCCATTTTTATGACGGTCCCACAATGTTTACAAGTTCCATAAACTACGTCATCTTTTGTTTCTTTGTCAAAATGATAAACAAATAACTCTGATTTATATTTTTTTTACCTTTATCCGGACCTCGAGAGGTCGCGGGCTCACCTGCCTCCACGCCGACGTCGTTGCTCTGCGGTGTAGGCTCCTCGTCCCCGTCTAGATTATCCAGATGTGCTTCATCAACATCTTCGAATACACTATCAAGAGTGGGAGATTTCCGTCACCTCTACCAGAATAAATCTGGTCGAATTCTTCATCCGTCATAGCGTCCTCGATTAAGTGATCGGGGATAGCAGGAAAGCAAGAGACGGAGTGTCTTCCTCGAGAAACGCGTGAGGTCGAACCGTCGGAGGTGGCTTTTGCTTTGCCTCTACTAGAACTTCGGTTCACGGCGCCCATATCCACGGACCTTCTACCGGACTCTCTCGACATTTTAATATATATATATATATATATATATATATATATTGATATAAAAAAATAATATATTAAATTTCGAAACTTTAAAAAAAATTCGAAATTTTATATATAATAATTTCGAAAATTTCAAAAAAAAATAGAGAATATATTTTAAATATATATTATATATTTTTTGAGAGAATGAGAGAATAGAGAATAGAGATTAGAGAGTAAGAGAGATGGATATGGATTGATGAGTGTGATTTTTTTAGAAGAAAAAATGGGTATTTATAAAAAAAAACCCCCCCTCCCCTCCCCCCCTCCCCATGGCCATTCTAGCCGTTTTGGCCGCCCCCCCCACTAACTTTGTTTTTTTTGCAGGTTTCCGTTGGAGAGCATTAGAGCAAAAAGGAGAAAAAAAAAAACCGGTACCGGCACCGGTACTGGCGGTGCCGGTAACGATTTTGGGGCACCGGAACCGAGACCGGATGTGGCGGTACCGGTGCCGGTTCTCGGAACCGTTCTTCCGTCCCGGTAATCGTCACGGTGCTCGGTACCGGCGGTACCGTTTCCGGTGACGGTACCGAACCGGTACCGTGTTCAGGTCTAGTTAACATATCTAAAAAAAACTTCACTGCCTAAAATTAATTCATATATCCTTTTTCTCATCATTAATTAAATCAAACTGTTACTTTTGCTCAATTATATCAAACTATTCGAATTTAGAAGACTTCTGAAACCAATTGGTAGACTTTGTTTGACTAGTTTTAATAGAAATTTTCTTTTGAGCCAATTCTTAAAATACGACATGAGAGTAAATTGATCTCTTGTTGATACATTTACTACCACTAAAACTACTTTATCGTAGTGTTTCCAAAACTTATTAGTGTCAGCAGAACGATCCCATGTAACAATGGTCAAACTCATATTTTAGTTTTAAAATACTTAAAACTCTTATTTTAATATTTCCATACATTTTACTGTGTTTTAAGATACATATAATTATAGTTCTGCATTCAGGTTACATAGATATAATCACTATCCATGCATATTTGTAAAAATATCATATCAAACTTTAATGTTAAAATAGATTTATCTTTTTTCAAGAAAATGAGAGACTATAAAGTGAGATGGAATGTTAAGTGAATCCCCAATATTCAGAAGACAAAATGTTGCCTTTGAGCTAAAACAAGAGCAATCGTGTTCATGGAACGAAAAATAAAAGTAAATAAAATATTTCTCTATTGTGAAAGCAGATATTTACAAACAATAGTAACATGAGACATTTACAACATGGGCATAGTTTTGGGCTAGTTCTAGTTCTTGAACCAACAGTTCTGGTACCGACCGCTGGCGATCTCGGTCCAAGTTCTGGAATTGGTCTGTGTGGTTCTGGTACCTGTTCGAGAACCTTTGTTTTAATTATTTTTTGGTTTTTTTCAAGCATGTGGTTGTAGGTCTTAGATATGTTTTATACTCTAACACGTCCCCTCACGTGCAGGTGAGTTATATACTTTTGTTCGAGCTTTGCACGTGAAAATTATTATTTTTGAAACTAGGTGACAGTAAGTTTTGAATGTGACGGTCAATCAAAGCCTTGATACCATGGTAGAATTTAAGATGGGTTAAAGGTTAACCACATTAAAAAATACTTGGGCAATATGATACTTGGGTTGAACCGCATTAAAAGATTGAATCCAATCAATGACTTAGTTCAATCAAAAGTTTATATATCGATTACTTCTCTTCAATTTTCGATGTGAGATAATTTAACACTTCATCCCAAAGGGACAATCGGGTTATTTTAAATATAGTCGGGTTGCCACTTGCAAATAGACTCTCCTTCCCCAAAAAATAAAAGGATCGAAAGTGCCAACACCTGCTAAAGGACAATGAATCACTCACTAAGGAATTCTAATCGAACAATCGGATTATACGGGCCACAAGCCGTTTTTCATACGGAGAACCGGGATAAGGACTAATGGGCCGGTAGGAATGAATATCCAATGAGGTGGGCTAAAACTTACTCTTATATCTTGTTAAATAATGAAATCATGTATTTACTTCAGAAATTCTAAATAATACAATAGCATATAAATATGAGAGATTCCTAACATAGATACGAATAATCCTATTAAAGAAACAAAACAATAATCAAATACTGCCATAAATATTAGAAATATTATTATTGCTCAACAACACTTTTTAATTAAAGAATGATACATGGCTAAAAGTTTTATCTAAATGTAGATGTTGTTTGTAAAATAATAAAAAATTGATAGTACATACTACCTCCGTCCCAGAGTATTTGTCCACTTTCATTTTTACACACCATCCAATGCACTTCTTTAATCCATTTTATCTTGTAATTTGTATATTAAAAATTATAGAAATTATATACTAATAATCTATATGTTAAGATAAATCAAACAAGATCACACATGACTATATTTAGGCTTACACATTGAGAGAATTGGATGAGTCAAAGTGCTTAGATAAATAGTTACAAAAGTCAAAACTAGACGAATACTCCGGGACGGAGGGAGTAAGTCATAACTATTTTAATGCCCCGACGGTTCAAAAAAAGCGACGAGGTAAAGAACAATAAAGAAATCTTCAAATCAGCTTAACGATCATTCACCTAAAACTCTAGCATGATGATGATGATGATGATGATGATGATGATGATGACAACAACAATAATAGTAGTAGTAATAATAATAATACTGATTAAAAATTTAGAGGAAAGAGATGCTATCGACGGAACAAATGAACAAATGGAATACCTCGAGTACTAGAGATCTAAAATGCAATCTAGATGCAACTTTTAATCTGTCCACTGGTGCTGCAAAGGTGGGTATGGTGCTTCGGGGTGATCAAGGTAGATTTGTTTGAGGGGCACATCGAGTGCTTGGCCACGTGGATAATGTCTTGCTAGCAGAGACTATGAGGATACAGTAGGCGCTCAAATGGCTAAAGGATAATTTTGTCTAGCAAAGATTAAAATTAGAGAGATGGATAATCAAACACGTTTTTTAGATCTTTAGACGACGAAGAATAAATTTCTTATTTTACATGCTTAGTGTTGGATGGTAAACAATAGTAGATTGATTTGTTTGTCCATGGTTAGAAAATTATCGAATCAGGTGGCTCATTTACTAGCTCGAACATTTGACTCTGTGTAGGATTTCTGGGAGTGAGTAGTTTATGTTCCTTCCAATTATATTTGTGATTCTTTGTGCACTTTGATAGTATGAATTAATGAAGTGAATTACTTTAGACAAAAAAATGTAGATGTTATTTGTAAAATAATGAAAACTGGATAGTACATAAGTCACAACTATGTTCAAAGCCCTAACAGTTCAAAAAGGTGATGAGGTAAAGAATCGTAAAGAAATCTTCAAATAAGCTTAATGAGCATTCACCCAAAACTCTAACCAGATAATAATAGTAATAATAATAATAGTAATAACAAAAATAATAATAAATAATAATAAGATTAATAATAATAATAATAATAATAATAATAATAATAATAATAATAATAATAAAAGTCATAATAATAATAAGAGTAAAAACAATAACAACAAAAACAACAACAAAACAACAATAATAATAAATAATAATGAGGAACCATATGCTTAATAAAATACATGGCAATAACAATAAAAAAAAGTAGGTTAAAATAGTGCCACCCAATATGGAATTAAAGTAATTACACATTCTAGTGTGTTTTATTCATTTTCCATTATCATGCCGATTCAGATTAGGCCTCAAAACAAAAAAGGGAAAAAGTGTGACCAAACAAAAGTGTCCTCATAGTCTCGTGTTTTGTTTTTATTGGAGCAAAAGATCACTCACTTAGCGGAACGCTCCCATGTAACATTGTCCAAACTCATATTTTAGTCTCAAAACACTTAAAACTCTTATTTTAGTATTTTTCATAAATTTTACTCTGATTTAGAGAGTTTTACCATACAAATAATTTTAATTCTATATTTATGTTACATAGATATAATCACTATCCATGCATATCCGTAAAATATATATCATATCAAACTCTGATGTTAAAATAGACTTATCCTTTTTAAGAAAATGATGAGAGACTATAAAGTGTGATGGAATGTTAAGTGAAGCCCCAATATTTAGAAGATAAAATGTTTCCTTTGAGCTAAAACAAGAGCAACTGTGTCCACTGAACGAAAAATAAATGTAAATAAAATGTCTCTACTAAGAAAACGAGATATTTACAAGCAATAGTAACATGAGACATTTACAACATGGGGTAGGTAGACCAGGACACGACATAGTTTTGGGCTGGTTCTAGTTCTAGAACCAACAGTTCTAGTACTTCCACAAGTACCGGTGGCCGACAGTCTCGGTATGAGTTCGAGAACTAGACGGTGTGGTTCTGGTACCTCTTCGAGAAATTTTTTAATTATTATTTGGTTTTTTCAAGCTTCTGGTTGTAGGTTCCGGATAGGTTTTATACTCTAACACGTCTCCTCACGTGCTAGGGAATTATATATTTTTGTTCGAGCTTTGCACACAAAAAATTTTATTTTTAAAACTGGATAGCAGTAAGTTTTGAACATGTGACAGTCAATCAAGGCCCCGATACCATGACAGAATTTAGGATGGGTTAAGGATTAACCACATTGAAAGATACTTGGGCAATAATGTTAGACAATAGTACTAATAGTACTTCTTGTAGTATTGGTTATGGTAGTGTTTCATTATTAGTCATCTTCCTAGTCCTATTTGTGGTAGATGTTGTATGTTAGTTAGTTTACATTCTCTATTCCTAGTTGTGTTAGGAGTCTCTCCTATATATACTCTATCATGTACTCCAAAATTCAATGAGCAATATTATTATTCTAATACTTCAACATGGTATCGGAGCCACCACTCTTGGTGACCTAAAAGAATTCTTTGCTCCCACCGCCGCTGGTAATTCCGGTGACGGCGGCTCCATCCTATTCACCTCTATTTCCTTTTCCTTCTTTATCCTCAAATCAACTTCTCCATTCAAATGAAAAGAAAAAAAGAAAAAAAACCCTATTGAAATCACACACAAAAAAACTATCAAAGGAGGAACTTCTCTCTTGTCATCTCCATGGTTCTTCAAAAAAAACCCAACTCCTCACAAACTTTCTCAAATCATCATATCTTCTCAAAAAAAGGAAAAAAATGATCGTTGTTTCTCTCCAACTCACCATATCAAAATCTCATACCCAAATTTTATTTTCTCCATCACCAATTCTTAACCTCCCTTCTCTTTCTCTTTTATTGAACCATTAAAAATCTAAAGTAAATCAGCACAAAAGCAAAGCCAATGGGGGAAGTAGTGAAAGAGGAAAAGAAATACCTCTACAACTCACTCATCCAAGAAGGAAATAGTGCATTGCCCGGATCCAAGAAAAAGACAAAAATGTCAAGAAATAGGGCACCTCCAGTAGCTTTCTCTATTCTTCTTCGACGTCAGCAGCTACAAGCGCACGTCAACCTTCTTTCTTCTTCATCGACGTCAGCAGCTACTAGCGCACGTCAATTTCTCTCTTCTCCAATTGTAGGACCTCAGGCGCTACCAACTCTTCTAAAACCAATTGGTGGTAGAAGAGGCGCATACCCTAGCCTTATAGTGCATTCAGCACACAAGCGCCCACGACATTCGATTGTGACTTGGCCCACATAGCCTCCGCCACGGGACAATTGATGCACACATGATCAACAATCTCCCCCTCAGCAATTGCTCCCGCTGGGAATCGAACTCGTGACCTTGGCTCTGATACCACTTGTAGGACCTCAGGCGCTACCAACTCTTCTAAAACCAATTGGTGGTAGAAGAGGCGCATACCCTAGCCTTATAGTGCATTCAGCACACAAGCGCCCACGACATTCGATTGTGACTTGGCCCACATAGCCTCCGCCACGGGACAATTGTTGCACACATGATCAACAAGCGCACGTCAATTTCTCTCTTCTCCAACGACGTTAGCAGCTACCAGTGCACGTCAGGCTTCTCTCTTCTCCAACGACGTCAGCAGCCCCCGGCGCGCGTCACACTTCTCTCTTCTCTTACGACGTGAGTAGCCACCAGCGCATGTCAGACTTCTCTCTTCTCAAAGTTACCAGTTTCCAGCTAGTGTCCAAGCTTCCTCTTACTTTAGCTAGAGTTCAGCTTGAGGGGGGATGTTAGACAATAATACTAATAGTACTTCTTGTAGTATTGGTTATGGTAGTGTTTCATTATTAGTCAGCTTCCTAGTTCTATTTGTGGTAGATGTTGTATGTTAGTTTGTTTCCATTCTCTATTCCTAGTTGTGTTAGGAGTCTCTCCTATATATACTCTATCATGTACTCCATAATTCAATGAGCAATATTATTATTCTAATATTTCAACAAGACACTTAGGTTGAACCACATTAAAAGATTAAATCTAATAAATTACTCAGTTCACCTCAAGAGTTTATATATTGATTACTTTTTTCTTTAGTTTCTCATGTGGGATACTTTAACACTCCATCCCAAGTAGACAATTGAGTTTCTTTGAATCTAACTTGTTGACCACTTACAGATGGACTTCTTCCTAGAAAAGAAAAGATCGAAAGTGTCAACACCTACCAAAGAACCACAAATCGCGGGATATGGACTTCTAGACAAGCAATCAAATTATATGGGCCACAAGCCATTTTCTATACAGAGAAGTGGACTAAAGACTAATGGGCCACTAGGAATGAACTTCTAGACGAACACTATAACAATTGAGGTGGGCTAAAACTTACTCCAATATCATGTTGAATATTGAAATAATGTATTTAATCTAAGAGTTCTAAATAATACAACATGATAGATTCCTAAGATAGATATGAATCATATTATCAAAGAAACAAAACCATAATCAAACCCTTCCATAAATATTAGAAATATTATTACTGCTTAAAAACACTTTTTTACTAAAGAACAATATATGGCTAAAAGATTTATCTAAATGTAGATGTTATTTGTAAAATAGTAAAAATTTGAAAGTATTGATAGTACATATGTCATAACTATGTTTAATGCCCCAGCGGCTCAAAAAAAGCGAAGAGATAAAGAATCAGAAAAAATCTTCAAATTAGCTCAAAAATCGTTCACAAAAACTCTAACTGATAATAATAATAATAATAATAATAATAATAATAATAATAATAATAATAGACTAAAAAATTCCTAGGATAGAAATGTTGCCGATGAAACAAATGAACAAATAGAATCCCTTGAATGCTAGAGATATGAGATGCTAGCAGAGACTGTGGGGATATGGGAGGCGCTCAAATAGATAAAGGATAATTTTGGCCAGCAAAGAACAATAGTGGAGATGGATCATCAAAAACTCTTTTTAGCTCTTCAGAGGATGGAGAATAAAATTTCTTATTTTACATGTTTAGTGTTGGATTGTAAACAATTGATGGAGTTTAGATCCATTTCTTTGTCTGTGGTTAGAAAATCAGCAAATCAGGTGACTCATTCACTGGCTCGAGCATCTGACTCTATGCCTGGTTCCTTCCAGTTATATTTGTGATTCTTTGCACTTTTATAGTATGAATGGATGAAGAGAATTACTTTAAAAAAATGTACTGGGTAGATGTTATTTGTAAAATAATGAAAACTGGATAGTACATAAGTCACAACTATGTTTTATGCCCACGGTTCAAAAAAATGAAGAGGTAAAGAACTGTAAGAAAATCTTCAAATGAGCTTAATCAACGTTCTCCTAAAACTCTAACCCAATAATAACAATATTAATATTAATAATTATAGTACTGATAAAAGTCATAATAATAATAATAGTAGTTAAAACAATAACAATAATAGTAATAATAATAGTAGTAACAACAACAACAACAACAACAACAACAACAACAATAATAATAATAATAATAATAATAATAATAACAACAACGAGGGACCAGATGCTTAATAAAAGACATGGCAATTACAACAAAAAAGTAGGTAAAAATAGTGCCACCCAATATGGAATTAAAGTAATTACAGATTCTAGCGTGTTTTACTCATTTTCCATTATAATGCCGATTCAGATTAGGCCTAAAATCAAAAAAAGGGAAAAGTGTGACCGAACAAAAGTATCCTCATAGTCTCATATTTTGTTTTTATTGGAGCAAAAGATCACTCAATTAGCGGAGAGGTCCCATTTGATTTATAAACCCCTTATCTCTTGCTAATACAATTGATGTGTGACAAATATCATACCTTATAGGTTTTAATTTGTAACATTCTTAAAATTTGAATTGCTTTGATAGAGAATGAATATGAGAAGTCATCCCCAAAGACTAGCATGTTAGGTTAGAGAGTCCATTTGGTCTATAACTCCATTTCTTGCCCATACCACCGATGTGGGATATTCTCTCATACGTTATAGTTGATTTTAGTCTGTAATGCAATATTAAAGTTTCATATCCCAAGACGAACCAATATAGTACAACATATTTCAAACACAACTCGAACAACTATAAAATCTAGTTCAAGCTTGACTTGTTAAGATTTTGTGTTCTGGGCCCAACTCGGATTCAACTCGTTTAGGCTCAAGCTCGAACCTTTGTATTAACATTTTAGTAAGCAGTTGAAATATAATAAATGTTATAAAGAGTGATTTATAACCATAATAGCTTACTATAATCATTATATAAATGTGCACAATATCCATAAATGCACATGAAATAGCATAATGACCCCATAAAATCACTACACTTTTTCCTATTATTCACTTTTGTTCTTATGATAGAAATGGATCTAGAGAAGAAAACTAGGGGTCGCCAGAAAATAGAAATGAAATTGATTGAGTGCGAAAATTCCCGAGCTGTAACATTTTCGAAGAGAAAAAGAACTCTCTTTGACAAAGCCCGGCGATTTTCGTTTTCAACAGGTTCCACCATAGCCATCTTCTTTGCCTCTTCAAAGGGCTTCATGCATGCTTTTGGCTCTACCTGCCTTCACTACATAACCAATAAGTATCGCGCTCGTCAGCGCGATATAGAAAGCCTAAATCTTCACCTTCACCGTCATCTTCATCAGCCACAACAAGAACAACGTGTGGATATGTATAGGGCAGGTCTGAATGGTGTGCAAGATGTGCACTTGCACGATAGCTCCAGTTTTGTAAAACCTGGTATTTTTATAGGTTCAATGTTCTCACTATTTAAAAAATTTGATAAATAATCCCTTTGTGCCCAAATAGAAATTCCCACTTTCCTTTTTTGTTTATTTCAAAATAAACTTCTCATTTAATTATTTCTGTAAACGAAAAGTGTTATATGCCCTACAATGTTTCTCTCTTCTCTAAATAAATTTTGTTCATACTTTTTACTTTCCAACAACTTTCTAAAGTCAACGCGAAAATTTCTTTTGAGAACGAAACATAGTCAAAGTTTTGCATTATTGATACATAATCGTGAAAATCAAATTTAACATCGATTTGAAAACAACCTAGTCCACACAAAACAAAATAATGCTTAAAACATGTTTTTAGACTTTCATGACCTCTTTGATTCTTTCTTATTTCAGGATCGGTTTTGGATATGCAACTGGATCTCGAGAGAGATCCAGTAGACAAGTTGAAGGAGATTTTAGAGTGTCAAGATATACCCTTGTTGATAGGCTCGTTTGATCCTTCGAACGCAGAGCACATAAAGGCGGCTTACGAGTGGGTTCAAATTTGTTGTAGAAAAGTGCAAAAACGGATAGAGCAGGTTTCTGCTCTATCCATGAATCCTGCTAGAGGCTTCAATCTAAATGTTGAACCCTCGACCGAAGATGGGGAAATGGTTTTTCCTTCTCCTTCAACTGCAAATGGGGGTGTGAGACCAAGCTTTGATTTGAACGTCGTGCCCGTTGCAACCGAAGATATGGTTTGCGCCACGTCTTCGTCTGTGAATCGATTCAAAAGGTTCAATTTGAATGTTGCGCCTAGTGGTACAGATGATGAATGTTGCACCCAACAGTACAAATGATGAAATGATTTGTTGAGTAACTCAATTCATGTGAGGGACTAACGATATCATTATATCAATCTTCGTGTCATCTGTGACCTGATTGTAACATCAGGTAAGGTGAAACACCATTTTACATAGACATTGCTACAGTCGTAGAAAATTCGGCATCAAAATTTGACATCATGTTTTCATAGACAAGCATAGATGGTCATTATCTATGCATGTCGGTAAAATACATAATGTCAAACTTTAATGTTAAAATAAATTTACCCATTTCATACAGATCAACTTCCTTTGATTAATAATTTGACGTGGGATATTGTTGTCTTTTCTCTTTTTATTTATTTGTTGGCTTCCCAGTCTCACTGTTCTCTAGTATTTTCTAATTAATTAAATCAAATAAAGTCAACTATTTTGCAGTAATTCATTAATTATTCTCTTTATGAGATACACTATTGTGATTTTTTTAAAGCATTGTGGTGCTCAACGTTTTTCAACCCATTTTTGTTTTTTGTTTTTTGTTGAGATATACAAATTAAATCAAATAGGATGTAGTTATGATCTAATATCAAATTAGATATATAGTGTTGTGAGGTAGTAATATTGTTGTTAATTTAAATTATTGATTTAACTAAGTTAGGAGTCTGCCAAGATTTACCCAATAAAGTAACATGTTCTCAAGACAAGTGATCATTTGTAGTTATAAAACATGAAATTTTAAAGCATGTAACCAAAACAAAGTAAATTTGCACATGGTCCCTTCAGCTTTTTTGGTCTTGGAATCACATAAGTATGTGCATTGCAAGATTTCGATGCCTTCACAACTTAGAGTTTAAGAAAAAATGGTACCAGAACTTGATTTCCCGTGCCGATTTTGTCGCATGTGATCAAGTTCTGGTACCGGTTATTCTTTAAAAAATGTACACAACTTACCTGCCAAAACATTGCCATTTCAAGAATGACACCACTTTTGACACCATATTGTCTCACCAATGCACACAAACGGTTAGACATTATGGTGTCAAAGGCGATATCAAATGTGGGGTTCCCATAGCTTTTTGGAATGACCAAATGCACAACAATACCTTCCAATTCAAAAAAGGAAAAAAAAAAGAACTTGAAAAACATCACAATTGGGGCACATAAATATCTTCAAAGTGAAAGAAAGAAACATCCTAGGAATGGCGCGAAGTATCTTCCAAGACGAGCATGCCGGGCGCACTAATTTACAAAAATCACATTTCGCTCTTGCACATCTTGAACACGAAGGCCTCATAAAAATTCACTGCATAGCTCTCTATACCTGACAGAGGTTTAAATAACACAACAGTAAATCGTAGTAGATCCTTGTGTGCGCTGCACGTGGAAGCTACTAAGACTTTTATACAGACTGTTGGAGTAAAGATCGGCTTGCGTTCCCTTTCCTCCCTGCCCTAACCCCATCAGCATTGTCTGAACCACCAAATGGAGGCTGTTCAAAATCCCAAGCAGAAGATGGCGATTGGCTATAATTATTGGGATGGTCAAATCGACACGCTGGCCCGAACTTGCAAATTCCATATCGGCTGTAAAATGAGCAGATTGTTTGCTCCTGAAATGGCATCACAGAAGAAATCAAACAGTTTAACTTTTGATGGAATACCAGAGATGCATTGTGTAGTTCCACATTTTGACATGAGAATTGTTATTTCTCTTTGTGGTATATGAGTATCAATTTAGTAATTACTCATTCAGTCTCCGAATCAACTTTACACTTTTCATTTTTGGATATTTAAAAATCAACTTTACACTTCTCCTCTTTCACTTTTAGAAAATATATATGTGGACAACTTTATAACTCTTTCTTTCAGATAAACTTCAACCATACACTATTAACTTTCCACCAAACACCTTTCACTTCTCAACATTTTCCTTAAACTCTGTCAAGTGAATGTATCAAGTTGATATGGAAACGTAAGGAACATTCTATAGGTCTCTCAGCTTTTCAGAATGTACCAAAGTAGTCCGGAAATTCTGAAATATCAATCACTTTACCAGAACTTTAGTACTTCACCCTTCTTCTTATAAGGGTGTTTTGGACATTTGACTTTTGGAATGAGGGGATTGGATTAGAATATCAGAACAGAGAAAGAAAGTATGATTGATGAACCAAAGGTGATACGGAGTATTAACCATCATTTTATTTAAAATCATGCAAAAAAGATGGCATTTGGTGTAAAACTGTGCCACTGCTTTATTTGTATGAATTTAGTGTTGAAATTCAATTGATTGAATCCATATAATAGCATGGGTCACAACTAGTTGGCATTAAGGTGATCATGATGATGAGGACATCCAAAAAAAATAAAAAAGAACATTTGTAAAAAAAAATTTCCAAGAAACCACCCGGACAGGAACTCGGAAAATATAAACTTACAGGTCGTAGAGGCAGGCCCTTGTCATTTAGAACTGTTTGCATCCTGGGCAATTGAGTTTTCGGATGATGGAACTTGCAATTAGATTTGTATTTACAGTCACCAGTTTTTATGAAGTAACTGCATTCAGGTTGACCAGGGCGTTCAGGATAATCATCACCCAGCACAGGTGCATGTTGAGCATGAGATGAGTTGAACTTTTCTGTCACGGAATTGCACATAGCAAATGCCGGAGGAGTAGGAAGGCTCTTCTCAGATGCTTGGTAGACAGGTGCCTCAATAAACAAAACAAAACAAGGAATATTTATTACAAAAGAACCTTTTCTGTTTTCTCCAACCCAAGAAAAAAAATCAGCCTAGAAGGCAATAAGGCACCCTAAATCAATAACCATAAACTTTCAAAACAGGACAGCATAGTTAGCCTGGCTCAACAAAGACAGGCAACATGATAAATCAGTCATTAGGTGGTGCTGTCTTCACCAGGTTGATCCAGACCAGACTAGAATGGATCAGATTGGAAAAAATGTATAAAAGAAAAAATAGATCAAATCCTATTCTTTTCAGGCTAAGAAAGATGTCCTAGCTCGCCTTACAAATAATTTCACAAGGTGAGGTTTACTTCACAATAATCACAACAAACTCAAATCCAGTAGATAATCAATGTCAGATACTCAACCCTAGTATATCAGTCCCAAAAGGTGGACAAATGGGCTAAAACTGTCCATAAAATAGGACTCAAATCATTGTGGGCAGTCAATGTGCAGACCAAGCTTTAATACCATGCCTTAACACCATGTTAAATTGGACCTAAGTCACCTCCTAAAGGATCCACAAGAAGTGAGGTTTATCCCACACTTACACAATAAAACACATTCAAATCAGTACTGTTGATGTAGGATATACACAGCACATGCATGCCACAAAACGACATTTTAGAATTGTCTAAATATCACTGCCAGCAAGAGACATTAATTAAGTCAAAAGATTACCTGATAACTACTCCATTCTGGAGTGGAAGAAGACACGCCTTGTGTTCCTGGATACATCACAGGAGAGACATACGATGTTGTATCATTGATTGCTCTCGACGAAGACCAAGAAGTCACAGTTGACTGAGAGGAAGCTTGCACTGTAATAGATCTACCCATGTTGTATGCAGAAGAAGAATCGTCTCCTGCCATAATGGTGGGCTCAGGATGATGAAATCTGCAGTTCGATCCATACTTGCATGAGCCAGTACGCATATAGTATGGGCATTCCTTTTCTCCCTGCATTTATAAGGAGAATGCTCCCATTATAATTTTGTTAGTGAGTACCTAAAGAGACACTAAGGGTCTGGTTGGAGTGTTGGACAACAGAAAAAAAACTACGATAACAACCCAGTATAATCTCAACTTCATTGGGGTCTCATCTGTCCAGGGGTCAAGATGTACGGTGTCTTACCCCTGGAATAAACAAAGAGGCTGTTTCCATTAGACCTGGGATGCATTGCTGCATTTACTGCCCAAAACATCATAGAAATTAAGAAGAAAGGAAAGTTTAATGTGCCATTTTGATTTAGGACACAGAAAATAGGGAGGAAAATATAAGGGAAACATGGAAGAAAAGAAAATGTGAGGGAAATTAACACATATTTTCAGACAACGACAACCAAGCTGGAACCAAGAGTAGGGCTTGGGGAGGGTATGTGTACACAGGCTTTGCCCCTACTCGAAAGTAGAGGGGCTGTTTCCAAGAGGCCCCGAATCAAGCAACAAAGATAAACATATTTCCGGACTAGTAAAAATATTTCGAAACTTGTTTGAACTCATTTTATTTATTCTGGTTCTATAAATATGAAGAAAGTCAAGCCAAGCATATACAGAAATTTCAAAAGTATTCCATGCTAGCACTTTCGATGATCGAAACACATCCTAACAGAGAATAATAATCCGGAAACTGAAAAGAGTGGTAAGTTTATAAGTTAACTGGGAAGCCCTAAAAAGTTAACATATTTAAAAGAAGCAATACCGGTCGCATTGGCAGGCCAAGAAAGTTAAACTCCTGAATGGGTGATGTTTGAAATTTTTCCCTGCTATGATTGTATTTGCAATTCTTCCCATATTTGCATCCACCTGAAGTTAGGTAGTACTGCAGCTCATGTAGAAAAGAAAACTTATGAGCGGAAAACGAGATTATAATTCAGGCTTTGAAAGAAGAATTTGTATCAAAGGAGTTAAAAAAAGGTTGCAGTACACCTCATGTCACATATATTAACTAGAAACTCTTGCTAGGGAAAAAATAAAGTCTTTAAAATATTGAAACATGTACATTTTGTATTATAGCATAAAGCATACACATCTCTAAAAAAATATCACATAATAAACACACCCAAAAATTAAAATAATGTCTAGCTTTTGAGCCAATTAACAACTTAAACATTTAAGCTGCACGTGATAAGAAGCAGCATTTGCAGGGAACGCCTAAGAAAAGTCAGAAAGAATGAGAAACACAACAGAATGAAATTACCTGAATTTGAAAAAATTCACAAGAGTTGAAATATGGGTGTGTTTGAAAATTTGTTACTGGAAAACAACATGCTCAGAAACAAGCAGCCACCGATTGATTTCAGTTTTCTGATTGAACTAAAGAAGATTTAAATTGCATTAATAAGAGATTTGAACAGTAAATTTTGGATCCATGTACCTTCAAAAAGAAAAATGAAAAAAATATTCAAACTGAGTCTTGGATACTAGGGAGTAGGGGCTTTTGAATGGAAAAAGTGAAAAACCAGTCTTCATTCTTAAGTTATAGATAAATTTGTGTGAACAAAAAAACATAAGAAGATGTGTTATATGAAGACCTTAAGTCATCCTGTCAACCCTTAAATCATCACAAATACACAACTAATTTTTTAGGTTTTATATGCTTCCACTATTTTACAGAAAAAACAATTTTCTTTTTTATATATGTGTATTGACATCATAAATAATGATAAAGATTAATGTGTCAACAAAATAAATAGACTGTGAAATTATGAGACAGAGAGATATGATTATAATGTAGAGCATGGGGCGTCCCATTAGACTTAGAGTGAAAAAAATGGTGCATGGGGTGGCCTACTCTAGGCTGTCGCCTGTAGCGAAAGGTGAAACAACAACAACGCAATTGAATCCCACAACAGTAGGGTTTAGGAAGAGTGTGTGTAGGCAGACCTTACCCCTACTTGAAAGTAGAGAGGTTGTTTCCAAACAAAAGGTGAAAAAGTTGGAGATTTAGATATTGGGAGAAAATGGTAGAGTGCATCCCATTCTAAGCCCACATCTGATTTATAAAAAACAATTAGGTTCTATAAATCCAAAATAGATCACTTTTCCAGCATTTGCTAACACAGGTCCACATCAAAAAATGGTAGTTTAGCATTTGCCAATACTCTCTTGAGTCTCTTCTCATCTAAAAATTATCCAAGAACCATAAGATGAAAGTATATTTTTTTAAACAATTTCAAAGTACTTAGTACTAAACATGCAAGTATATGCAATTACACAACTAAAGACATACATATAAAAATCTGCATCCCGCTGGTGCAGATGCATGTAACAAATTTCAGATCTCATCTCCTTTTTACGAGAGTCTTGCACTCATACATATTTCTTAATGTTATAAGTGAGCAACAAAAGCAGTGGACAATAGTTTGGAACTATTGATTTCTATTTCAATAAGATCGCAACAAGCCAGCAGTTGATCCCTTAAGTCATTAACTGTGCACATCATCACATGATGCAACCTGTCATCGTGTTCCCTGTTTCTTTCAACGTAATCTATTCGAGTGTAACAGCAAGAACTTAGGCTGATACTGTTGCACAGTAGGAAGATCCACCATGGCAACCATATGGAGATGGTATATGCTCTTCCATTGTGAATATATAATACTTACAGGTTCCCAATCCAGTTGAGTAAAGAATAAACAAAAAAATGAAATAAAAAGCATACCTTGCATTCAGTCTGCACCATTCTTTCTGGGTTATTTTCTTTGGGCATCCCCCTGTCTCTAGACCACTGGGTAAAAATAGAAAAAACTTACTGTATAATATAGTAAATATCTGCAGAACCAACCAATTTAATCATAGAATCATACAAAAGCAATTGACAAAGAGGCAGTGGGAGAAACAAAACCAAACCAGACCAGACCTGTGTTTTCCTTCTAGGATGATTGAACTTGCAATGGAAGCCGAATTTGCAGGACCCAGTTTTCATGTAAAACGCACAGTCCTCCGCATCTGGTCTCAAAGGATAGTTGAAAACGAATTTCTTACCATGACCATTGCTAGAATGAAACCCGCCACCACCCGCCCTGTCTCCTTCGAAAGAAACCTCGTCACCCCCATTTCGAATCTCAACCCCACCTCTGCTCCTATCATCCTCATCATAAACACCATACCCACCATGATGACCATAATCATACCCATAACCACCATCTTCGCCGTGAAATTTGTCCGGTTCCTCCAGGCTCTGGTCTCGCTCAAGATCGTGATACGCCTGGCTCAGAACCAAATCCCGAAGCTCATTGCAGATGATTCGCACGGCTTCCTTGTCGTCATCATCATCATCCTCGCCGCAATTATCCTCTTCGGGCAACAATTGCGTGCTTTCAGGAGGGATTTCGGGATTGGGTTCAGGAGAAATCGGTCGATTCTCCAGCGACTGAGGCTCGAACCCTAGCTCGTCGTGATCTTGCACCTCGGGTTGGTGTTGCTGAATTGGGGTTTTTTCTTGAATTGGGATTTCTTCTTCCATTGCGCTCATGTGATTTCACCAGCAAGATGAAACCCTACTCCAGAAAGTAAAGATAAATTGCAGTCTAAAGGATGAAATTATGGATGAGACGGAACCGAAGCCTGCTTCGACGTCAGTTCATCACTTCTCTTCCTTTCCTTTCCAAAAGATGAAAGAATAAATCTTTTCATGCTCTCTAGTTATATACTACTCCCTATTGTTTTTTTTTCTTTTTTGTTTTTGAACATTTTGACTATAAATTATTTAAAAAAATATGTGTTTTTTAGAATTAAAAATAGAATTAATTTTAATGTAAATTTAATATACTCCGTATTTGAGTTTATTAGAAGATATGATTTTGATTTATTAAATTTTTTTGAAGCATTTACGGAGTGTTTATTTAATATTATATTTAATTTGTAATCGAACATAGCACAGAAGTCAAATTATGACGATAATTTTCGGAAGGAAGGAGTATCTTTTTTTAGTAACCAAAGAGATTGATCACGTTTGACTTCTTTGAATCAAACTGTACAAAATATGTTAAATTATACGGAGTATTTCTTTTGTCCTTAAATTATCATCCTCTTAATTATTTGAGAGAGCATATAATTTCTATTTATATGCCTTTGAATTGAATGACCATTTCATAAAACAAATAGGCATGTCATCAGTATTTTATAGAACTTTTGATGTACATTTTAGATTAGGAGTAAATTGTACTTTCTATTTTATACTCCCTCCGTCCCAGAGTATTTGTTCAGTTTAACTTTTTTGAGTCAAACTAGACAAAATTTAATTATCAATTACTCTCAATTTGTATTGCATATTAATATAATGAAATACATTTTTAAAAGTTCTAAACAAGTTAAATATATTAAAATCATTTTTATACTAATATACATTATAGTTTTTACTTAATCAAGGCTCAAAGTTCGTCCAGTTTGACTCAAAAAAGTCAAACTGGACGAATACTCCGGGACGGATGTAGTATCAATTTAGAAAAAAAATTAATTTTACAAATTAAAGATATTGCACGTTGATCGCAAAAAAATGATAATTTAGATAAATGGTTACTATTGTATTTATATTACGGGGGGGACTATAAAGGTATTTTTATTATATTTGAGTTATGAAAAATTTTCAGGAATTTATTTCATTATATACCCTTTGTCTGTGCTAGAAAACATAAATTGACTTTGTGAAGATTACGAAAGACTTTAGAAGTGATTGAAAAATAGAGAGAAAGTGTAAAAGTAAATGAAAGATAAGAGAAAGTATAAAAATTATTTAAAAAGTACTCAGTAAAAGAGAGTGTAAAGTGATTAAAAAATAAAAAAGTAATTGAAAAATTACGTTAGTTATATGAAGGCCAAATAGCTCCAGTGCCCCCTCTTGTTTGAAAAATTGACACCAATGCCCCCTCTGTTTTCAAAACTTATTTCTAAAGCCCTCGTGGTTTCAAAATGTTGCACCCACACCCCCTCTGATCATTTTCCGGCCATTTTCCGGTGAAGAGGGGGCATTGGCGCATAATTTCTAAACCATAGGGCGCATTCGTGCTCATTTCTTATTTTCGTTTATTATTCTCCCCTTTTAAAAAATATTTTCTATCACTTTTTCCTTTTCCTATATTTTTTTAAAATATATTTTTAATTTTTTATAATGTTTCAAAAATTTTAAAATTCTTTGTGTTTGAAATAAAAATAAAAATAAAAATAAAAAAACATACATTAAATCTATCTCAAATTAAATATTTTCACTTTTTGTTATTTAGAATAATTTTTTGGAAAGTTAAAAAAACCAAAATAAAAAAATATATGGAAAAATGAAATGAAAAAATAAAAATATGCAAAAAAAGTCTTATACAAAAAAAATTAGACACCCCTAAAAACGTCCTTAAAATTAATATGTCCGAAAAGGATATTCATTTTTTTGTATTATTTTGTTTCTTATTTTATTCCTCATTTTCTTGAAGTTCTAAAAAAAAATTACTCCGTACTTTTTTTCAGAAAAAACAAAAATTGTTAATTTGAGACGTACATATGCGTTATATGTTAATTTTTTCAAACAGAAGTAACTTTAAATTTTAAGAACATTATAAAAATAATTTTAAAAAAACATTTATTGATAAATGAAATAAAAAAGGAAAAAATGGAAAAAACAAAAAATATGCAAGAAATAAAAATCAGCACTGATACCCCCTATGGTTTAAAAAATATGCACCAATGCCTCCCTTCTTCGCCGGAAAAATGGCCAGAAAATAATCAGAGGGGGCACGGGTGCAGCATTTTGAAACCACATGGACTTTAGAAATAAGTTTTGAAAATAGAAGGGGTATTGGTACTTGTTTTGCAAACCACGAGGGGTAAAGGCGCTATTTGCAGCTGTTATATAAAATTAGAAATGTGTCTTTTGGGATAGCACGCCTTATTTGAAAGGTGTGTCTTTATGCACCCGATGAGTAGAGGTGGCAATCGGATCAATCGAATCGGTTTCGGGTTGGATTTTTTCGGTTCGGATATCTTTCGGTTATATGTTATAATCGGTTCGGTTCGGTTCGGATCGGTTAAATTTCGGTTCGGATTTGATTTTGGTTCTATACATTTTTCGGTTCGGTTTCGAGTCGGTTCAGATACGGTTCGGTTATAAATCGGTTCGGATACAATTTGAGTCGGATATATTTTGGTTTCGGGTCTAGTTCGGTTCGAATATATTTCAGTTTCGGATCAAATATATTTTGGATATATATTATTTTCTAATTAAAATTTAACTATTCGTGTTTTTTTTGATGTTTTATCACATTTATCAATCTATCATCAAATCAATACCTCATATTATTTTATATTTTTTTCTAGTTATATTATCTCTACCCTAAATAATCTTCCCTTTTTGACTTTTTAGTCATATTTTACAAATTTGGACTACAATCTATGAAAACATATATATTTAATTATGATATAAATTTAATATAATTAAATTGATTTTAAAATTTAGTTTTGAAATATAAAATTTTTCTCACATCTACTAATATACTTATGTATATAAATGAAACGATCAAAGATAAATTCAAATAGTTTTATGTTCCATTTGAATACAATTTGGTAAACGTTGAGTAAAATTAGGTGAAATTAAGTGAATTTTATTTAATTGAGTGCAAAATTTGTAAATTATTGAGTATATTTGGTTGAAAATAGAGAAAATTAAATTTAATAGAGTCAAATATAATTAATTTTACACCTAAATGTAATGGTGTAGATCAAATTCGAAAATGATAACAGTAAAGGCTACCGCTAGAGATTCTTTTCAAAATGCTAACACTAGCATCTAATTTTATTGACTAATATTGAGTGAATTGGTTTGAAACTATTCAAATTAACTCACAAATCAATAAAATTTATTGTAATGAGATGAAATTAGGATTAAATTTAGTTATTCCATACAATGCATCATATATTCAATTCCTTTCGTCCCAAAAAGAATATCACACTTCACTATTTAAAAATTACGGAAATTTTATTTGTTTGTGCGTTATCATTTATATGTATAACTTATCTTTAATTTCTACATATAATAAATTTAAGGCATAAAATTTTGTACTTTTTTTCAAGAAGATAATCCATTTTATGAGGGAATGAGCAAGTAATGTAATTAGTTCAAATGGTAAAATAAAAGTAAAAATTTAAAAATAAAATATGCTTATTGAAAGGCAAACATAGTTCTGAATTTATCGATTTTAGTTCTAATCGGGTTCGGATATTATCGGTTTCAGATCTAATCGGTTTCGGATTTTATCGGTTTCAGGTATTATCGGGTTCGGATCTAATCGGTTTCGGGTTTAATCGGTTCGGATATTATCGGTTTCAGATCTAATCGGTTTCGGATTTAAATCGGATATGAATTATTTAGTTCGGTTTCGGTTCGATTCGGATCATTTCGGGTTTTCGGTTATAAATCGGATCTTCATTTTTCGAGTCATTCCGGTTTCGGTTTCGGATATTTCGGTTCGGGTAATCGGTTCCGGTTCTGTTTTGCCAGGTGATGAGGGAGTAATAATATGTAACACAAATTTAATGTTGGTGTTGATTAAATTTTGTTCAATTTGAGTTGTAATAAGCCAAACAAAATGAATACGGAGAGAATATTTTACAAAAATGAATAATTTTTCTTCCAATTTATTTTTTCGATCCATTTTAATTTAATATGTATGTCTGGATTTATTTTATTTTAAGTTATTTCAAAATGAATTAAATATTTAAAAATTATATTAAAAAAACACTCTACAAATATAAAAAGTGAAATGTCAAAATGAAATAGGGAGTAAATTTAAAAAAAGTGTGTGATTGAAATTTATACACTATAAGAGTTAAAAATGAGTTGGGTCATACAACTCTTTTTAAAAAGATTATATGGAAATTCTTTTCGAGATACCCTAAAAAAGTGAAAAGTTTTTTTATATAGAATGGATTATAAAACGTGTGAAGTAATTATTGATGAGAAACCAAAAATGAGAGAAGAATTCAGAGTATTAAGTTCTACATTAAAGTTGATGTTAATAATATATTTTTTGAACATGCAATAATATTAATACTTTCTGTTTGTTCAATTTGTTTTTTTTTTTTGCAATCACACAAATTTCAGTCATCAATTTAATAAAAATTACATTACATAGAATAAGAACTCGGTTGTATCTCACGAAAGTAGAGTCTGAAAAAAAAATTAAATTACATATTAATGCCAAAATAATTTAAGTAAATTTATCCTATAAAATTTTTTCCAAAACTATTTTTTATTGTTAAAACATAATGTAAAAAGAAATGAAAAAAGAAAGTAGTCAAACAATTAGAATTGAGACAAAAACAAATTAGTCAAACAACAAGAACTCACACAAAATGTTCTTGTCTATTCTTTTACTCCTTTTTTTCACTGTGATCTCCATGAAAGGTAGACCAGACACTCAATATGTCTCAAATAATCCTTGAGTTGAAAAATGAAAAGTTGAATGTCTCACATATTTTGTAAATTATTTTTTGGAGTTGACTTCCACGAAAAAACTCCTAAAAGTAATTACTTCCCCCATCTCCAAATTCATTTATTAATTTAATTTCAAAAAAATTAAGAAAAATATTGAAAAATAAATTATTTTTCGTAAAAAACTAAAAATAACATTTTTAAAATATGTTCAATGAGATGAGTAGAAATACATCTTGATGAAAGAAATAAGAATAAAATCTAGCCTTTGGATCTGATGGATCGTGCGGCTCAGATTGCATCCCGCACTCAAATTTTGAGATAGTGCATTTTAAAAGGATTTTTGTGCATTTCGACATGATGCATTTTCAAACCATTTTGGTGCACCTAATTTTGATGCAATCCTGGCCCTTAGATCTCACAATTTAAAGCACCAGATTCATTCTTATTTCTTTCATAAGATCGCATTCTCACCAGAACCAAAATCTATATATATATATATATATATATATATATATATATATATATATATATATATATATATAGAAAGAGAGAGACAACCAAATTCAATTTCACGAACAAATATAGTAGATACTCCAAAAAAAAGTGTTGTAACATTTGTTGTAACTTTGTGATGATTTCTTTTTTGATAAAATGTTTTTGTTGATTGTTTCCTCAACTAAGTGGAAACATTTTTTCCCAAATGAAAAGGTAAGAATCTATTTTTTTTAAAAGAATCTAAAACTAACACGCCTTTATGAAAAATATTTTTGCCTTTTGTTTTGACTGGGTCAAGATCAATGTTATTAAAAGAGCAATGCTAGAGGTACACCAAAGATGTACCCCGTTTGTTCCTCACCCCCTTCTCCACCACCCATTTTTATCTACTTTTTAATTGTTTAATTTTTTTTAAAATTCTTGTCCATTTTTCTTATTAAAATCAAGTCCTACCGGTCCAACGAGTCACTAAATTGGTTCAATTTAAAATATACTCTCGACAAGGGGTGTACAAAATCTAGGTTAGATCGGAAAACAAGATTAGATAAGACTAGAAAAATCGGTTCTGGGCTAGACTGGTACAATTCCAGACTGGTCTCCAGTCTAAATGTTAAGGATAGGTAAAATTTCGTTCCGTTCCAATCTAAGATCGGATAGTTTTCGAGTCGGACCGATAAGATCGGAATGTATTTTTATTTATTTTTAATACCTATATTATGAAGTATGTGATTATAAATAAAATTTTGTATTTTTATTTTTTCTTCTTACTTTAATACGGAGTATAATCTTTTAAATGTAATATGAATTCTTTTTATTGATTTTCCTTAATTTTTATAATTACAATCATTGACCTTTACCTAAAAACCTTCATAATTATAAAACACTAAAACAATTTCAAAAAAAAATTAAAGTATAATGTTACTCCGTACAATTTAGAGTATTAGATCATTTGACATTTAACTTATTCTTGCAAAAACGGTAATTTAAAGTACAACTTTATAATATTTTTGAAATCCCACAAACTAACGGAAGTAAAAAAAACTTATTTTAAACTTGTCATATTGTTGATTAAATATTTTTTTACATTAATATAGTTTTTTGAAGCACGCCCAATGGATATAAAAACTAAGAGTTGAGTTGAAAACAATTAAAATCATGCTACGTTGTTGATAAACAAGTTTTAAAAATTTGACAAAAAAAAATCCAGGTTTTTCAATTTTTACCCGTACCGGAAAAAACAAGTACGGACCGGAGTCTAACATGTGTGGTTTCTAGTCCTATCCTTTAAGGGATTCCTGGTCCGGTACAGTTTTGGACCAGTGTACACCCCTACTCTCGACACCTTAATTTTTTTTTGAGACAGTATTTATAGTTTTACACGGTCAAATATTAATTATTTTTTATATCTATTCTTATTTATTTAATAAAATAGTTTAGCAATATCGCCTCTTGTTTTGTATAACTTTTGATTTAGTTTTAAAATATATATAAAAAATTTTTTGTAATTTTACACATACAACCAAATAAATTTATTTAAAAATAATTTAAATCAAACTTCATAAATTATAACGGAAAATATGTTTTAGGACAGAAAGAGTATTTGTGAATACAAACCAATTACCCGTATATTATTCTCTTCGTATCATACTCAATTTTTTTCCCAAATGAAAATTCATGAGTTGACTTTTATGTAGTTTAAGAAAAAAATAAATTCTATGATAAAAATGAATTGACTTAGGTGTATCCTATAATGGCATATCTCATTTGTACTCCAGGTATTCAAAGACACACACTTTCCATGTCTGTGCAGTGCACGCACAAACATGGAAAGTGAGTGTATGTTAGGGATGGCAATTCAACCCGAACCCGAGCTTAACCGACCCGACCGACCACTAAAATATCCGAACCCGAACCGAGAATAAAATAATCCGAACCCGACCCGAAATTTTTTACCCGAACCCGACATCGGGTCGGGTCGGGTGTGAGTTTATTATTTTACCCGACCGACCCGAACCCGAACCCGACCCGACTCAAACCCGAATATTTTATAACATAAAAGTCTATCTATGGATATAATGAGCACTCCGTATAATCTCTTGACAAAGTGCTACTATATCAAGTATGCCTTTTATAATCATTTTTATAATTTCTTAATAAAAAAATGAGACACAAAAAAAATTAGATGTAATCTTTTTAAAATTATTGGGGTACGCCGAATTGATTATTAGTTAAAAGTCGGGTTCGGGTAGGGTTCGGGTCGGGTTCGGGTTTTTGGTTGGGATGTCGGGTTCGGGTCGGGTTCGGGTTTTTGCTTTAAAAGTCGGGTTTCGGGTCGGGTTCGGGTATAGTACAATCCGACCCGAACCCGACCCGTTGCCATCCCTAGTGTATATCTATGAATGTCTGAGTTACAATTCGGGTATCCCATTTTTGGGTCCGCCTAGCGTTGCCCGATAAAAATTGATGGATTCAAGATGGAGAAAAATATTAGAAGCCACTAATTTGTTTCATTAAACAGAATAAAAAATTCTTTTGGAACAGCTAAGAAAGAAAATAAAAATGTCTTCTAAGGACAAGTTATTTAGAATCGTCTTATATCTCTTTTCCTCTGTTTAAAATGAAAAGATTATTCATTTTTAGAACTAAAAGACTACTTTGGTCTTTTTTTCAACATAGTACAATGGCCAAAATGATAAGTCAAACAACTTACATAGAAATGTGTTTTAAGTCAAAATAAAAATAAAATATTGTACGGAGTAGAATGTAACAATAGATGAATTGTATTGTCCCACAAAATAAACTCAATATTATGAAACCAAATGAGGCTTAAATGGTCATTGTGAAGCATTAATTCAAATTCAAAGATCTATCCTACCCAATTTATTACAAAAAAAAAAAAGAAAATTACACTAATTTTGGATGGCCTAAGGCTAAGACCATTTATATGTAAAATGTTTGGAATGGAAAGGGGGTATTTATTTGATATATATATATATATATATATATATATATATATATATATATATATATATATATATATATATATAGAGAGAGAGAGAGAGAGAGAGAGAGAGAAGCTGGTACCAACCCAAGACTTGAATTCAAATGTTAGATTCCTTTTGTTGGGCCATTTTTTCCCCTAACATAATGAAGAAATTGGCCTAGCTGAAACCAATGTTTGGACCTGATGATAAAAGAAAATGTCTCTGTGTACCAAACTACCAAATGGAGAAATTACAAAGGGGATTTCTCAATCCTAAACCTACACCCTATTTCTGTTAACTGAACAACAATTTCACAATCAGCCAAGTTATAATAACAATTTACCTTTGTTTTCCTCTCTTCTTCACTTGTTTGAGGTGTGGCCGGTTTTCCGCTTGTGGCGACTGAAATCCGACACGAACCGAAACGTCTGGCCGCAGCCCGTTTCGGTGCAGAGGTAGGGGCGCGCACCGGTGTGGACCCTTATGTGTTCCGTGCGGGCCCAGGCCCACTTGAAAGTCATCTTGCACCCTTTCCAAGGACACTTCAAGGGGCGCTCGTCCAGGTGGACACGCCGGTGTTGCACCAGATACTTGTGGGAAAAGAAGTTCTTCCCACACCCCTTCACAGGGCATATGTTCTTCTTGTGCAATTGGAGTTCTTGCTTTGACCTGAAACTCATGTTGCAGCCTTCAAAGTCACACAAATGTTCTCCCATTACTTCCTCGTCTGTCGCGCTCCTTTTATTAATAGCTTTTCTCTTTGTGCTGCTATTGTTACCATCTGGAACCTTCTTCATTGAGGGCACTTTCTTGCGTTTCGTCGCCTTCGACGTAGGCTTTGCTTTGATAGGTTCGGTTTCTGAATCTTCAACTGGTTTTGAGATTCTTCTTCTGAGACGTGTGCTGGGCCCACCTTCTACCTCGTCATGTTTAACAAGAACATCGACCCCTTCGTTCTTGGTAATAATCTTTTGAGGTTCATCGTACGGCTCTTTCTTAACCTGTTTTCTTTTATGATTAGGCATTGGTTTTTCATCAGGATGATCATTTGCAAGGAACCTGCCGTTTTCCATTACTGCAGATTTCCTCTTTTTCCTGAAAGTGGGAGCAGCGGTTTCTGGTGGGGTATGTTTACCTTCCAGCGATAGAAGAATAGGCTTTCGGTCAGGAACGAACCGGGCAGCAGGATTGGTTTGTAGATCTGGTTGGTCAGAAGCCATGTGGGAGAGGAGAGGATGGACCTGGTTAGACATCCAGAATTTCCCGCACCATTTTCCAGCGACGGATACTTTCTTATGCTTTGTGGGGCCCACCATATCGTTCTCCGGGGCGACCGCTTGAGAGCTACTACTGCGTCCGAATGCAGTGTAGATGACAGAGTTAAAAGCCATCTGCTTGCAGTAGAGAGTTGAGCGACTGAGACTGGCACTGTGGAAGAGATTGATTCCCAATTTCACAGCCCAATCCCCGTTCCCGTGTATGGCTTCTTGACTCTCTAAAGCTGACCGGATTAGCTTCTTATCACCTACGGTTGCTTCGTGGAATGAATTCTGGCTCCAGATGTAATCACTTCCACAATCCCCCGCCAACTTTCTTGCTTCAGCTTCTAGTTGGGGATAATCTGTGTGTATTTTTAACATAAAAAGAATAATGTTTTTAGGCATAGTTTAACATTTGCAGGTACTGTATAGCCCATTTATCACATAAAATAAAATTTTATATAATTGCAAAGAGATCATGCACACAAACTGTTGCAGCAGATTGACATAAGAAAAGACAAGTATGATCTATAAAAGAGCCAAATTTCAAATCTGAGCTCACCTGGATGACAAAAAAGAGAAATGTGGGCCCCACCTACCGGACGGAGCTTTTTTTCCACTTCCACAGCATGTTGGAGACAGAAAACATGCATCCTGGATGAATCTTCATCAGATTGCATGGATACATCACTGAAGGACACATGAGCATTCTTCACAACTCCTGGCTTATGGGGAAACTGGGTACAATTCGGCCCAGCTTCTTGTGGTCTCACGCGATCTCCCAATCTATTTTGTGAAATATCTGACAATATTGATGCGGTATTGTTATTATCAGCATCTGTTTTAGCATCAACCGAACTGCCAAAACTGCAACGATTTCCACCATCATGATTGGTTCTCCTCACCCTGTGATCAGCATAAGGGTCAAGAACAAAATGGAGAGGGATTACATCAGCTTTAACTTGTGATGAACAAACCATAGATTTTCCATCACAATCATTGACAGGAGCATCAGCTTCAGCCTCTGAGTCTGAAGAATCACCATACGTTGAAGCCAACAGACCAAGGGAAGAACTGTCTTTGTGTGTTCCAGTAGTAGAAACCACTCCTCTTTCGTCACTAAAAACTTCTGTTTGACTAGTCGATTTTGTAGGGGCATCAAAAATATCATCTTGTGCCATCCTTACCATCAATCCTACAATCGCACGAGATGTTCACACATGTTAATATTGCATGAAACTGCTTGCCAATCAATCAAAATCAAAAGCCAAAGTAATTACACTAATTGTTGAGTATCCCATATTTGTCCCTGAATAGATTTAGGTCTGGTATACAATTGTGAGTTAGTAAGCCCAACTTTACTCATACCTGAAGATGAACCTAACGTGGACACATCGGTATCCCCATCCACAGCTGGGGTCCCAGACTCAGCTGCTCTCAATTGTAATATGCTTTCACAATCAGCAGAGATCAGGCAATGAGCAGCCTCATCTGTCGGTTGAACAATGGCAACACAAGTGTAACACAGTATCCCACAAGTCACACACGAAAACAGCCCATGATCTGATGACCTATCACAGTTATAAGCTCTTTGACTAGTTGTATTAGCGTTCCCATTAGATGATTGGACATTATAATCTTTGTCACAAATAGTAAGCCTACTACTTTCACATAATGGAGAAGATTTTCCTCTATTTGAAAGGACACCTGGTGTTTGTTTTGGTCTCTGTTTCCTGCCTAATGACACATTTTCAAAGCCTGAATCTTTTGTAGGTTTCACCTCGTGATGTATAAAGCCTACACTGGAAGAGTTCTCAGGCTTTATCTTAAGCGGGGATCCTTGTAAATTTGTAGAATTCCTAGGAAGAAGTACAACTGAAGATCCTCCTCCAAGAGTGTGAAGAAGAGAATTAGTTTGCTTTAAATCCTGAATAAAAAAGTCCTTGACCAGTGCTTCTCCTTCATCCTTCTTCTTGTCCTTCAGCCTAGAACTCCTTGGTTCTACTCGAATATTCTTTGACATACTACAGCAGAAATTTAAGCAGATAAATGAGAACATTGAGCATTTATAACATCCAACCAAAATTTTAATAAAGAAAACATTATGCATTGTTGATAGGATTTTACAAGGTTGTTTGTTGTTGTTGTTGTTGTATCACGCATTGTTGATATATATGGGGGAAAAAAGGTTGAAGAAAAACAATAAACAAAAACAGTCTAACCAAAACTGCTTGTACAGAAGGATGAAATCATAATTATAAATATCCAGAGTACCAGTTAATGATGAAATCATGGTTCGGTGTAGCATATGATAACGTGAAAAACTTTCTAATTGGCAAGTTAGCTTCATGTCAAGTTTTAAAGTCTAAACGACACTTCATAATCTTCTGCTAGTATCGACAATTATATTGGAAACACGGTTTTAAACCAAAAAAAATTAAGAGATTCCCAATGAAGAAATTCTTTAACTTGCTTATGATTTAGTTACTGTTATAGTTACCCAAGTAATTTTATATACCACCTAATTAGGTTGGAAAGAGACCATTACCAATCAAAGAGTATCATAGAAATATAGGATTAGTAACAAGTTGCCAAGTAGGCAGTGCCTGTGAAATAAAATTAAGAAATTACTACACAATGTCGTTAAGAATATCATGTGTATTTTATAATGACCAATTTGCATAAAGATATATGCTGCTTCATGCCCTATGATAAAGCGATTTCCAAGCTAGTTGAAGATGCCTCATCTCAAAGAATAGCTTTAACACAAAACAAACAGTATTTGGAGATGCTGTACTAGGCTGGTTTCCTAAGCGAGTAATAGTATCTCTTTTTTTATTTATCTAAAGAGATTGGGGAGGGAATAGATTGGGTCTAGGGGGGGTATTCCCTTGAGCCAAGGGTCATTGAATTCGGCTAGGAAACAAACCTTGAACATAAAGAAATTGCTAGGTCATAGAGCAATTGGAAGTGCGAAACCATTGGGGGGCAATTGATCGAAGCCCTGCGAATTGCAGCATCTTTTGCAACCCTCAACCATCCAGGAGTAGCAATGTTAGAGGCCTCCCCACAGTTAAAACCTAAGTTTTCCAAATTGACATTGCCAAAACACAATCATCATTCTCCTTCAAATGCTTGTCAGCACATATCCAGAACCACAGTAAGCTGTGGCAGTATGCAAACCAAAACAAAGATAGTTATCTTACCATGACTAAACCCCGAGTGATAAGCTCTTGGAAAGGTGACAACAAAGTCTCCAACATCCTGCACCAACCTGAATCCTCAAAAAAAAAAAAAAAAGGAATGATCAGTGCCCATCAGGGTAAGAATTAAAATCTTATACTCTCTATGTCCCAAAATAAACACACTTTCCTTTTCGGCATATCCCAAAATAAAAATCCATTTCCTTTTATGGTAAGGAATAAATGGCCCATCATTATTCATCTCCCTTTCATATCATTTCCAACCGCACACTTTTCACTTTTCAGCACTTCTCTTAAACTCCATGTCTGGTTAAAATGGACTATAAATTTGGGGCGGAGGGAGCATATACTACTTATGATAACTAAATAAAATTTTCCCAAAGTTTCCCTGGAGCAAAACTCTCTCGCAAGTCACACCTAATAATCCTGAGAACTATTATTATCTAAGGTGTTTGGTTTAAAAACTAATGCTATGAGGTTGCATAATTAAATGTTTCCATGGATGGTTACTGTTATACATTGTTTGAGAAGTAGATGGTTCTGCAGTATTTATTGTGTGCATAAATATGTGTGATGGGTGTGCATGCATGAGCATCTATGATCATAGAAACTCTACGGGACACTAGTTCTACTACCTCAGTTTTGATAAATCAATATAAAAAACTATCCATAAGCTCCATGAACTAAATATAGAAACAAAGATAGAATAGCAGGCAAACTAGGTAAAAAGCACTGCATAATAGTTGACAAATCAGTTAAGGGTTTCTATATAGAAAACCAAATCAATATATTTCACCTGCAGCATGGAACACCAGCATTAAGCAGTACTTCTGGTGACATGACAGTTGTCTTCTCTCCAAGGGTAGCAAATGTAACTGGACAACATGCATACTAAAAACGTAAAAACAAGCTGCATATACAGAGACAAACAAATGGCAAAATGGCCATAACTCAGTCAAAAATAAAACCTCAATATTTCAATATTATTGAAGCTAGCAACTGATAGAACTTAGAAGACCTATCAGTTGCAGTACAAGGACCAGCTTTGTACTCTTAGGATTAAAGGTAAGGTCTATGTACGTCTCAAGCTCCCCAATCTCAAACTCCCCAGACCCTACACCCAGGTCACACTTACTCGGCATGTTTGGTTTGGTATAGCCCCCTAAATTCCATTTCCATTTTCATATATGAACAATGTGCTTAATTGTGCTGAACATTCAACATGTTTATGTCAATTTATATATTATAAATTTGAAAACCTGATTTAATAGTAAAACATCATAAAACCCCAAGTCCATTATGGACTCAATGTGTAGAGTGTTAGGGATATAAAATATTCAAATATACGGGGTAGAAAAGATAGCAAGAGGTTGTGATAAACAATACATAAAAATAAACAATCTTCATTTATATTTGAGCATCTCAAGTCTCAATTCATCCTTGTCTCATGATAATTTTCTCATGTGGAAATAAACTATGACACTTATGCATCAAAATCTCCACCTCATTATTCCTTCGTATGGAGATCGCGACAATGACATCCAGCGCAAAACATTGACATTATGCCTATTGGGCCTAAAAATTTATATTAATTGCTTTGCTTTATCTTTAATCTTTCTAACTAACTGTGTAAATAGTAAATAGTAGAAACCTAGGTTTATACTGATAAAAACTTAGAAGAAGATTAAATAAGCCACCGCCCACTTTTGTTTCACACTCTCAGTCTTCTACTTCACTCCCGTTCCGCAACAACTACAGTTGTTTTGTCTACACTCTGTAGTTCAACTCCCCGCCCACCCTCTCTCTCTCTTTCTATCTCTAGTGTTAAAAAGAACAAACCGTTAACTAAATACAACTAATTGAACTTATATTTAATACTACCCTGACCCAAACTAGTTGGGATTATGGTGCCAGTAATGATGAAGATGATGATGGTTATGAAGATGATGATGACCAATATTGAACATTACAAATCTAAGCCATCTTCCCTTCACCCTATAATCTGAAATTTGTAATTTAGATTACTTTTGAGGTCATTGGAGATTTAGTGATTCAAAATAATATTAGGATGGTTCCAGTGAAATTTCACTGACGATTAACAAATTCAATTCGTGCATACCACTACCATTAATGTACCTCTATATGAAGAAAGTAGAGGGGGATCATGAAATAACTGCACATTTCTATCATATGAAAAATGTCTCAATCTGAGCTTGTTTCCTATGTGTACAATGGAAACTATTACTTTCAAAAATGTACACATCTACCAAAGTGGATTATAGAAAATAACATCTTTTGTTGATAAACACCCTTTTTTGTTTAAAATATCTGTTCAATCCAGAGTTCCCATCTAATACAGACTGGTCATCCCTTCCCCTAAAACCAAGGGAAGACTTTTTGTAACACTAGTCAAACTTCCAATTACGAAACGAAATTTGGGATAAGGAAGTCATTCTCACTCTTAGAGATTCAATTACCAGTGTCTTAGTGAAAATGAAATAAAACAGAACAATGTTTAAAAAAACAGGGGAAATAGTTCACATTGCAAAGAAAAACAAGAAAAAAAATGAAGTTGTACTAATTAGATAACACAAGGCTTGAAAATCTCACCAAGAGGATTGACCTCTCCACCATATCCATGAACCCGGATCACCTCCTCAAATGCCACAGCAGCATCCCGAGGCACGCCATACCATGTCTTCCCCGCACCTGTATGCAGGTAATTCAAGCTATGCAAGTCATGATCCTCCACATGCCAGGCAAACCAGCTGAACATCATAGCAATGTACACCATGGGAGAAGTAACGCCGGGTATCTCTTCCTTCATGAACTTGAGCAAAGACCCTCTTGCCCTCGAAACCCCTCTCATATTCCACTCCGTCTCGGCCACCGTCGCCCCCTCCCCAACTGCCCTGCTCGAATCCCCCTTCTTAGGTGCGAATGCAGAACCAGGAATATCATTGGCATACTCAACCGAGAACGGCTTATCCAGATTCGCCTTCCAGTAAAGCGACTCGACCTCCAGAGGAGACAGCCCCTTCTTTGAGCTCCTCTTGACATAACTCTTCTCAAACCCTTTTGCCTTCGCCTCGAATTGCTGGAGCGTGTAATACTCCCCACTCTGCCAGACCGGCTTCTGCACCGGCCTGTGCTTCCTTGGACAGAACCCAATCTGCTGCTGCCTGGTGGTGAATGTGGGGCCATTGGAGCCAGGACGAGCAGAGAGAGACTTGTTGAGGTTCGAAATCGCAGATTTCTTGGTGGGCGCGGCCACAGGGGGCACAATCTTGCAGATTCCATACCTCGAAGCTTCGGCCTCGATCTTGAAAATGTAGGCAATCGGATCTCTGAACTCGTCCAGTGTGGGGTGGTACTCGGGAGCCACTGGTAGGGTTTTCAGCCATGGAAGCACCTCCACCCCACTGCAACCCTCCCCCATTAGGTCAACAACACATTCGAACAAGCGATATATACTCCGAGATCTGGAAAAGGGTCACCGTCACCACCTGATGAGCAGCATCATCATAGCTCTGGCATTAAGATGAACAGAGAGTAATGGATGGATTTGCAGATTCTGTAACCAATCATTATAGTTTCTGGAGAAAACCCGGAGCTCAGATGACTAAATTTACACAGAATTGGTTGAGGATAGAGAGATGAATGGATGGATAATTGCTCTGTTTTGTTGTTTGTGCCAAAAATAAAAAACAGAGAGAGAGAGAGAGAGAGAGAGAGGCAGGGGAGGGCGAGGGGTGAGGTAAGTGTGACTGTGTGAGTGGAAATATGTGAGATTTTTATTCGGGCTCGAAGCAAAAATTTTATGGCTTTGTTTGGTAGAGATTTTGAAATTTGAAAAAAAAAAAAATACTCCCTCCAGTCTCAAATTAATTTACATATTTATTATTTGCACATCAAATTTCATTCATTTGTTTTCCTAATTTTATTACTAGTTTCATAAAATAATAAAGTCATGTCACTACTAGTTTTATAGATATGCAGTGTTTAAATATGTAATTTTTGTTTTTTAATTTTACATCGTTTTTAAGATAAAAAGATTTGAAAATAATTACAGTCAAACATCGTAAACAAAAACATGCGATTTAAATTGAACGATGGGAGTATTAGATTTGAATTTTGAAAAGAAGTTATTTAGAAAAATTTAAAATAATGATCTAATTAATAATAAGCCTCGTTTGAATATACTCTGTATGTTTTCATTTGTATCAAAGGTAGAATTTTATATTTAAGTATTTACAAAAAAGAAAGGAAAAAAGTGTTCTAGACAAAATTGTCTATATCTAATAAAAGGAGTAAATTTAGTCAAATGAAATGTGATTTAGAAACAATTTTGATATATTTGAGAGAAATTTACAGATAATTGCCCGTTAAGTTCATTTCTTTCACTTTTTCCTATTTTTTTTTTCTAACCCTTTACATATTTTTATTTTTCTTGTCAATTCCTTTTAATTTTTCCAAATTCTTCTAATTCCTTTTAATCTTATTTCTTTTTATTTACTCTAATTTTTTATCATTCTAATTTTTTTATCTTCTTAATGCCCATGGTAGATCTGTAGTTCATATTCAATTCTTGTTGATTTGGTTGCATTAGTTATTGATAGAAATAACTCTCTTCAAATATCATGTTTCAAGATGTATTTATTTACTTCTTTCCACGTGAAAGACTTGGGTAATTTAAAATACTCCGTATTTACTAGGGGTAGAGGTTGTCAAAAACTCTATAAGAATCTTTCTCCTTCAACGCATGTATACTTTTGACACTTTACAAAATTAGATTTTCTATGTCCGCGACCTCTTGGAACATCAATGGAGTTTAACCATCGAATCATCCTGACACGTGAGAAATTTCTCGTGGATTAAGGATCTTATTAACATCTCGTGTATAGGAACCACATTTACCACTAGCATTCAATCTTAGGCATGATTTATCAATTATCATCTCACGGGTACTAAAAAATAAAATTTACATATTTAAAAATCACATCAAAAACTATTTGAACCAAGAGGTGATATGACTATATCATTTCAGCAAATAAGTAACAAAAATAGTTAAAGAAAATGAATAAAATTTGACTTTTTTAATAGTAAACAAACACTCTAATTTGGAACAAGGAGAGTAGCACTCAACAAATGCATTTAGATAATTTAAATAAGAAAAAATGGGAGAAATATTAATTTTTAAATTCTAATAATTTTGAAGGTATTAGTTTTTATGTTTATTTTTAAATTATACTCTAATTAACTCCTTTCCTTATATTTTTCTTTGAACTATACTTAAAGTCCATTCTTTTCGACATAATTATAACTAGAGTCTATAATTTGAAAAGGTCTAAATGTAACTTGATATTATACATAGTAATAAGATTGTGTTTAGAAGCCAATGATGCATTATAGTGTGTTAGAAATATTTCTATTCATCAAGGAGGGTCATGAATTCAATACCTATTACAGTAAAATTTTAGGAAGCCAAAAAAAGAACCGGGACCAAATCCTCGGATTTGCCGGGTCAAAATGGGTCTCGGCGGTTTTCTAGAAGACGAGTTTACACATTTGACCGGACCAGAACCATGGACGGTTTGCAATCCAATGAGTCAAGCTGGTCTGCCCGGTCTTCTCCGAATTTAAATACTCTTCAAATTAGTGAAGTGCAATGTGAAGAGGTAATTCATAGCCCCAAAAAAGAGGCTTGTGGGCTAGGGGGGGGGGGGGGGNCAGAATCAGCTATCTTTTGGACTGCTTAGACCTTGTTCCACATTTGGGGTAGTCCCACATAGCTCAAGGGAAACAGGGCAATGGTCACTACCATAAAAACCTGCAACATATTCAGAACCCATTTAGCTATTCAAGTAGCAAAAAGACCCAAGCATAAAAGGTGTATGTATATGTATATATTGATTGTATTGTCGATTGCAAGTGGAGTTAAAGAGTCATTGTTGATAAATGACAATTTAGCTTAGGGAAAATAATGGACTGAATCGAAATGGGACGTTAAACTTTTTGTTAGAATATGTGCTTCTTACTTTCCATGAAGTTTGTTCTTCCGAAATCTACTTTCCATCGTGGAGTTTTGGGCGATAAATACAATGATGCATTAAGGGGGGTCTCACGAAAATAGCATCTCTATTTTTACATGGGTAAGATTGCATAAATCTTGATTTTATGAGACCCCAACGAAAATAGTGTTATATCGGGTTTGTTGTTGTTGGTTATGTATATATAATCCATAAGTCATAAAATGATTACCTATTAGATAGGGTAATTATTATAATTAAAAGAAAAACATATGCGTGCAAATGACAATTTCTATTATTGCCTTGACACATGACCCAATTGTATATGTAAAGGTTTTACATACCTTTCAATTCAATCCCTCGACCATGCATCTCGCATGATAAAATCCTATCTTTCAGTTCTTCCGAGACAATGAAATAGTCTATTCTCATCCTTTTCCCGCGATACCTGATAGGAAGAGTTCATTCTGAGTTTTGACCATCGAATTACATTTAATATCAAAGTGCCAACTTAATTACAATGAATCAATGATGATGAAGAGGAAACTAGAAAGTGTTTAGGATGACTTACTTTCAAGGAATAAGAAAAAAACGCATCTAACACTAAAATGAAGGGAAAAACTTCAATAGTAGAAAACACTTCTAATGCTTATTCAAGAAAGCAGCAGATTGGTACTCTTACAGAGAAGCACTTCAAGTGCTTAAATGAGAAATCACGTGTGATTTGGAAAAGAAATTATACATAAGCTACCCTAAGCATGGCTGAGAAAAGTGGTTACTTACTTCCCGATTGGATTTCCTGACCATGAGAAGCCGGATTCCATGTCTTTATCCTTGTGTAGGATTCTATATGCATCCACTAGCTTTCCTCTGGAGCAATTGGAATTTAAAAATCGGAACTCCAAGAAAACATAAAGTACTTACTGCTAACTTGAAGATAAAAGGTATATTCATGTCATCAAATCCAAGATAGTTTTGTTCATCGGGCTGTGTTGTTGAGTCGAATTGTCAATGACCAACCTTAAACCATAGTCAAGTTGTAGCCTACTTTATAAACCATTTACCAAACATGTGCTTTAGCGATTTGACCAAGTCAGACCTCTAAAGTTGGTCAAATTTGCTAAACATATGCAGATCCGACATTTACCAAATAAAACAACGCAGTCCACAACAAAACCTTATCGTGGTGAGAAAAGCATCCAAATAGTAGTACTTTAGAATATTGGCTCTAGGAGATGTGGCAAAAAATGGAATGAGCTTGCACCAACTACTAAGGAGCACGGTCTGTGTATGGATTTCATTCCCTTTTTATTTTTGTTTTAAGTTGGAAAAGGACGGAGGGTGGAGTTGTTCCTCCAACTCTCCAAGCACACAAAGCAACAATTCAATGACATGTTGGGGTGGGGTATTAACCTGTTTAATTCTTAACAGATATAAAAGTTTAGGCAATTCGATTTTTCATAATGGGCAAAAATTAAGATTTATGTGCACAATCTAATAGAAAACGTTATATTTCACATTTTGACGTTGAGAATGTATTTGGATGATAAAACAATAAATGCTCATAATATTTGTTTAAAATGCCCTCATTAAATTTTATGTTTTCTTGGAAAAATAAAAAGACAAATTAGGGGAAAAGTAGTAAATGTGCATAGATTTCAGAAAATGGATAGATAAAATGCAAAAAAGAAAAATTGGTTAACAAAGACAAATGTATAGGAACAAACAGGGTATAATTGAAACAAATTACATACTCTTTTAAAATGGTACCAAATCGCCTCCTTTCGGCCAACGTAAATCCAGGCTGCCCAAAGTCCTGTATTAAAAAAAAAGGTCAGAGGTTAGGAATCGTAATGTGGATTACACTAAATTTTTATTTTTAAATTTCCGGTCCCAATTTTCTCAGGTTTTAACATGTTCTACCTTCCTACAGAACTTCGTTTAATCTATCTTAAGAAAACAAAACTTTGTTCAGCAAACAGTTGTGGATGTTCAGCAATCCTTTGATGTTAATTAACATTTTACATAAGTTAACACCATCAAACATATGTATGATTGTTTCCACCATCACCATTACTATGATTTGTTGCATGAATATTTGGTGCTAACTAATTTTATAAAATTAAATGGCATGACAAAATGTCATGGTAACAATCCAAACGAGTTGGGAAAAAGGTAATGGTGCTGGTGATGGTGATTTAAGTTATGACATCCATACATGGATTCATAAAGTGCAATCATGCAAGCCTTTCCACTTGAAGATTATAAGTAGGCAAAATCTTCAGAAACCTATAAGATAGATGGAGATATGAAAGGACGTGATATAAATGGGATTCTAATTTGCATTATAACTACATGGTAAACAACTATGAAGAGATAATGAAGAAATATATTCATAGCTCTATCCCTCATTTGGTTGTGGGATTTAGAAGGGATGGATGATTTTATTGATGCATTCTCGGCATTTCTCGCATTAGATGATTTGAAAGCAAGTGAAGAACACAATAAATGTAGAAATACATTATTTAATAAAACAAATGTGATAAATTGGTAAAGAAAAATCAACCCTCACCTTTGAAATCCCCCAATCAAATAAGCCATTTAGGATATTACACATCAACGTTGATATGAAACAGATGGACCATAATCACGCAGAGATTGTGGCATCCTATTACCTCTTTATTAGGCGGAACATACCCATTTTGCTTTGCAGCGGCAAAAAAATCTGGATGACTGACATCAATTTCTTCATGACTGTTTGTAATATATAAAAGTAAATTCGTTAAAAAGCTGGAAGTCAGATTCAAAAATAAGAAAATACATAAATGCTACCAATTGAAGTGTGACTTCATTTTCATAAGAAAAATCTACTGTGTAAACTACTCAATGATCCATGTTTACAAATCTGAATTTGTCGAACAATAATAATCAATTTTCAGGAACGAATATACAAAAATGATGGGAAAAAAGAAGGGAAGATGATACACAAGAAATGATGGGGAAAAAAAGAAGACAAAAGGAAGTGAACTTTAAATAAAGACACAACAACAACATTACCCCAGCGCCTCAAAGGCTCCCGCCCATTGCGGGGTAAGGGGGGTTTGATGTAAACATCCTGACCCCTATGTTTAAAACATAAAGCGCCTGTCTAATGGGGCAAGGAGAAGGGGTTTAAAACATAAAGCGCCTGTCTAATGGGGCAAGGAGAAGGGGAAATGCAAAAATAAACCAAATAGTCAAATACAACGGGAAAGGTAACTCAAGCATGCACAAGAAAGGTACCTTACATTAAGATCACCACACCAAATAAGAGGTTTGCTAGAAGCCTGCGTAACAAACTCAAGCATTCTTTTGTCCCACTTTCTTCTTCTTGGAAATGAAGATTCCTCTTCTTTCCATCCATTGTTTGGCACATACGTGTTTAACAGTTTGAATGTCTCAAATTCAGCCAAAATAACTCGGCCATCGAGTTCATGCTTTGAACCTATGAAAAAGAAGTATGAAATTTATTTATGCCTTTTTCAAAGGATTTGAGATGAATGCAGGCTCAAATATGCAGAAATCTGCAGATTCATCAATTTGTTAAATGCCACAATTTAATTCAGTGAAGTGATAAAAGGTCACAACTAAAGGAAATGTCAATTCCATCAATTAGGCTCAAGCATAAGCTATGTGGTAAAATCAACAATTGCAACAAAACAAACTCTGTTTAAGGTGTCCTGCGCCCCTAAATTTTACTCCCTTCGTCCAAGAAATGAGTCCAGTTTCAAAAAAAAATCCAAAAAAAGTTATACTTCGTCAAAAGAAGCAATCTTCGCAATTTTCCCAAGAAAGGTTACAACAAATTTAAATACAGTATGATTTATAAAATTAAACCAATAAATACATTTCTAGAATATAATTAGAATGTCAAGACTTTAAAATGGTCGAACTTAAACAATGGTACAAGATATAAAACATTAGACCATTTTACCAATATTATTAGAATAAAACATTGAGTAGCAAATCACCTGTTCCATCAAGTGAGAAAGAGACCTTTGGTTGGAAACACTTTTTAACCAACAAAGCAGTTCCAGCATACTTTGAATCAGAAAGAGACCACCAAACATCATAATTTTTGAATGGTAGACTTGATAAAGCACGTGTAATTATCTGCACGATTGAGCAGACAGCAGTGATACATAGGACATCAGATTAAAGAATTTGACAGTTCATATGTCATGATAAACAGTGACCTGTCAATTCGCATTTTACCAGTTTTTCTTCACGGGATGCGTTCGTGTCATCTTTAATCTCTCTTGGATTTTTTGGTGCCCCCTTGGGACCTGCTGCAGCCATCCTAACTTCCTGCAGCAAATGACTTTAGAATAATACTTCAATAGTTTAACCTTTTGCAGGTCATTTGAAAGAATACCAAAAGAATAAATCATTTCACTCTGAGGAGAGGAGACACGGATTGATCCGGCAACGCCATGTGGTTGATATTGATATTACCATAAAGATAACATAGATGTTTGCCAAACTACTCAACAGTTACATTCCTAAAAACACTCAAAGACCCCGCAAAAAGAAACACAGTAAACTGAGGTGCAAACAAACAAGTTTGAGCCAGAGTAATTATCTATTTGAGAAACATTGCTTAACATAAGTGGTCGTTTGTATTCATTCGTTTAGGATAAAAAGCACTCATATCATATGTTTTATCATTATCAGTCAATTAATGTAGCACGACAACAACAAACATCTTAAATCGTTGCCATATCGTGATATTTTCCATGCATATCTGTTTACAAAATAGAAAACTAGCTCAAAAGTGAGTGTCTCTTATGTCCATTTACTAATAAAATGTACATAAACTAACCCTAAATGAGTTCAAAAACGAGCAGAAAAATGGCTCATTTTGCATAACAACAAGCTCAAACAAATGCATTTACAAACCCTAAGAGATTAGTTGAAATCAAGACTAAACCCTAAAATCAAGCTGCATTACAAAATCAGAAGGCGGATTGTTTGCAGAACCTGAATGGCAATGACGTCGGGGTCAAGAGACTCCACGAACTGGGTGAACTCGGGCCAGTTGTTCTTGATCCGCAGCAGAAAGCTGTTGGCATTCCATGTCAGGAACTTGGTGGGGTCTCTCTTTTGATTCTCGCCGGCGACGGCCGAGTTTGGATCTGCGGTGGCCGTCGCGGCGGCTTCTTCGCCGTCTTTCGCTGAAGGAGAAAGCGCGGGTTTCTTAGAGGGACCATCTTTCTGAATTGGTTGAAAGAATCGTTTCATCGTTAATTCTGGTCTCCCTGCCGCTGCTTGGCTGTGCCTATGTGAGTGAGTGGTAAATTGGTATTTAATTCTCATTTTGTACATTAATTTTTTTTTTAGCAAACATTAAATTATTTGATTATAAGTATAAAGTTTAAAAATAAAATCTATATATACAAAGTATATTGAGTTTTTTGCATCATTTAGTATCGAACTTTTTAAAAATTGTGCGGATTTCTCATGAACTTTAAAAACTACACTAATAATTCCTGAACTTATAAAATTATATCAATAGTCTCTTTGTGTCAGATTTGAAAGTGTGTTAATTACATGCTCGTCAATATACTGGTTGAAGCTTGATGAAGTTGTCAATTTGTCATGAATTGATGAAAAAGTTGATTAATTGATGAAGAGCTTCTTCGATTAATGCCCAAGTTTCGAGTTCGATTACCGACAGCTAAAGCGGGAATAATTGTTCGAGCTTTCAAAAGGTTAAAAATATAGAAAATAATGTTTGGATAATATATCTCAGAACTCACGTATGATATATGAATTTAGATTAATGCACACATGTGCTGGATGAGTGTGATAAACGTGTTGCTAAATCTGGAATAGAGGAGTCATTGATGCAACATTTTTAAAGTGATCATTGATAACGAAAAATAATGGAGAGTAAAGTATTTCGGAACGTAGAGTAATTTTTTTGAAATTGATACTAAGTCCATCCTAGACCTGATCAAAGTGCGGGCCGGGCCGGGTTTCGGGTCGGGCCGAGATACTACTTTACGAGAATTTCCTAGGCCCGAGCCCGGCCCGGCCCGTGTAACGGGCCTAACAATTGAAGCCCGAGCCCGGCCCGCATGGTTACCCGCTGGCTTCGGGCCGACCCGGTCCAACCGACAAAAACTTCTAAATAATTTAAAAAATAATTTTTTTTAAAAAAATTAAGTAACAAGTTAATATATTAGATATTTGAAAAGAAAGAAAAATTAATATATAAATATATTTTGTTTGATATTGCTACTATGTATGGAGTACAAAATATTATCTATTGGAATGTCATAATCAATGTGTGATACGTTGCAAACGATACGAAGTAGTAAAAGATGTATTTATTTTATTATATAAACTTATAGTTTATTTTTTCTCTCCATAGAAGTATGTATGTGTGTTTATAATAATTTGAAATAGGTTTATTCTTTATTATTATTATTAATGTTGTTATTGTTATTTTATTATAATTATATTAATAATAAATATTTTAATTTATTCAGGCCGGACTGGCCTGTGGGCTTGAGCATAAACCCGTGCCCGGCCCTAAAATTTTCGGGCCGCCATTTATAAGGCCCAAGCCCGGCCCGTACCCTAAAAATGTCAAGCCCAAGCCCGCTATTTTGCGGGCGGGCTTTTGCGGGCGGGCCGGATACCCGGGCCCGTGATATTAACCATTTGTTAGGTAAATGTCCCTATACAATTTGGGGAGGATAGTGAGCACTAAACTTAATCCTAGGAAGTGGAGGATGGTCATAGTTGCAGTTTCCAATTTATACAATGTGGAAATGCAAATAAGAAGTGAGAAGGTTCATGAGGATAAATTTGTTGTTTGTGGTGTGAAAACAAATTTGTTTGGGTAAAAATAACTTATGATAACTAAACTAGATTTCATTGATCACAAATGTCTTATTTATACAAGCATAACTCTGCCAATCAGTACTAAAACCTAATTACATCCACTAACAGTTACAAAAAATATATGGATGTTGCTCTTTGTTCTCTTCATTCCAATTTAAATCATTTATTTCGTTTTGCGATATTTGACTAAAGTTATTTTAAACAATTTATTTGAGAATTGTGATTGAATTTAAAAGTAATACTCTCTCCGAATTTGAAAGATGAGTCTCTAAAGAGCTTGAAAACTGAAGAACACAAATCATTTTGTAAAACATAATAGCAACATGACAAACAATTGACATGTAGCAGCTCAATAAGATTTAACAACAAAAAAGTCTTAGCTAGTTGAGAAAAAATTTCCCTATGAACCCCAACAAGCTAGGGTATAGTACACATTTCAAAAACACTAAATATGGTCAAAGAGGGACATAATTAAAGAAAGCATCAGAAATCAAGCTCCAACCGGTTCGACGGGCTCGGTAGCTTCTTCTTCTTCTGTCCGCCGATCAATCTTCATGCCAATGTCTTCATTAGAGCTTTCATGAACCTGCATAAAAAATTTTACCATGTTGTAATCAATGCAGATTACGCTTTCATTTGGAGAAGAGAAAATGCCATACAACAACAATCTAGTCGAATCCCACAAAAGTAGGGCATGAGGAGGGTGTGTGAACGCAGACCTTACCCCTATTCTAAAGTAGAGGGGGGGACCTTACCCCTATTCTAAAGTAGAGGGGCTGTTTCTCAGAGGCCCCCGACCCGAATAATACAGACAGCACAACAAGCAAGGAAAGCAAAGAAAACACAAAAAAAAAAAAGCGAAAAGAAAACTAAGGTTAACAAAAGGAAAACACACCAAGCATAGAAAAACACACAACGACAAGTGCGGAAACTACCACCAAATCCAAATGCCTACCCAACTATTCTAATCATAACTCTCCAGACACTCCTCTCCTATCTAAGGTCATTTCCAGAAGAGGAAATACCATGAAGAGGTTTATTGGAATGGAAGAGAATTTAAAACCAAATATTGTTATCATTTTTGCTTTAGGTATTCATATTGGCAATCGAAATCATCAATCAAATATAAGTATACTTGTAGTTTTTCAAGGAGTGACGAAGGATTTCAAGCCACATTTTGTCCCTAGCATTTAATGAGAGTATGTTTGGAAACTACTGACCTCCATCAACTTGCCAAGATCAAACTTGGGAGCCTTGAGGATTTTGACCTTGCGGATGAAAACATTCTGAAGAGGGTAGATGTTCGTGGTGGCCTTCTCAATTTCCGCACCAATTGATTCAGGGATGAACTTATTCACCAAACTCTTCAGGTCACAAGACTGCGCACTGCTGGCCATGATTTCTACCATCTTGCGGCGGATCTGTTCGTTAGTGAAAAAGATACAGCGTATTATTACTGTGTTAAGACACATAAATTAGAGCAAGTAAATCAAGGCACCGGGTTCCTTTTCCCAAAAAAAGTGATGGTACCCCATCAATCCAACCTTTCAGGATATTGAATGATATTGATCCCACCCTTCAAAATGCATGAATCAAGCCCACCTTTCAGGGCCGGCTCAAGCCAAGGGCAAAGAGGCCACTTGGACAGGGCCCAATTGTAGAGGGGGCCCCACTTTTTTCTTATAAATATATTGTATATTTATTTATTTATTATTAAATTATTTATATTATACTTTCAGTATAATTTTGATCACCTATTATTGTTTAGAATGTTTGGCTGTAATTATTTTCAATTCATTTTATTTTTTGTAATTTGGTATACAATTAAAAAATAAAATTTACAAATTTAAAAATTACATCAAAATTACTAAATCTACCAATTTTACTCTCAAGAATGCTAGAAAAACTTTATGAATCCTTGGCTAGTTATTAAGGTATGTAAGATTTATAAGACTATAAATTTGACTTTTATTATTTTTATTACTATTGTACATAGTAATTTTTACTATTGTTAAAAATATAATTTCTAGATTATATTTCATTGTGATTCAATGACCTATTTTCTGGGCGTTGTCCAGGGCCCTTAATTTCTCGGAGACGGCCCTGCCACCTTTACACGCCGTATCATTTTTATTATAGTTAAAGTTCAATTTATGACACAATAAAATAAAAGATGTCCACACATATTGCATATTCATGATCTTGAGACCGTCTCCCACTCTAAAAATTAGAATGATATAGGCCTAAGCCTGAAAAATGAAAGATGTATTTTTAAAAAATTGAGTCCAAACACAAGAAAATAGGAGGGAAAAAGTTACGTAAAACAAAGACCAAAAGAAAGAATATAATCATACAAAAGACTACCCGACGAATCTGGCTGGACTGTGCATAGCAAGTTCTCTTTTGTTGGTTACTTCGCTTCTTGGTGAATCCAATGCAAAACATTCTCAAGGTGTAATTGTCTGTTGTCTTGACATCAGCATGCGCCTCGATTAGTGACTGCCATTTCTTCACCAGGGACCTCAACTTATCCGTGGTGAAATCCATACCCTGCCATTTTTATGCAATGAAATAAGGTAAACATATTTTTACCGCCGGGAAAGAGAGGTGTAATGTACAAGACATACCCAGAAGTTGGTAAGGACATTCTTTCCCTGAACATCCTCAGCTCTGAGACGGATCTTTCTGTAGGACCTTTCATCGTCATCTTGGAGATCGGCCAACGACACCTCAAACACACGGTGTTTGAGCCCTTCTGAAGCAATCTGAACAGATAAATGTCATCCAATATAGGGTTATAGTAATAAAAACAAGCTGCTGATTTAGTAGGACGACATCTAACTAGAAAAATTAGTACTCCTTCCGCCCCGAAATGATATTCCCATTTTACTTTTCACAGTCCACAAAGAAACACTTTGACTATCAATATCTATATTCATACATGAAAACATTTTATGAAAATTTAATATTTTGAAACTACGTTTCATAAGGAAACTATTGGGATTATATTCACATCGAAGCACAACACAATGTATTTTTTCTCATATATGACAAAGAAAAGTCAATTTCTGGATGGGGAGAGTAATTCAAAACTCACCTTAGTTCCTTGAGTTCGGGTAACAAGAGTTTTCCCCACATTTCTGATCTTGAAAACTGAAGGTGCCTTGATGTCATACCAATCCTTCTTGGCAAACGGATCAGCTCTGTAAGAATCAAAACAAATCCATGTAATTTTTAAAAAAACGAAGCTTGATTTGTCTTACAATTTACATGCGCTCAGATTAAAATGCAGTCCATATCGAAGTACAAAACAAATCGAAAACCCTAACAAGCGAGACGATAACGAAGAAGGAAACGTACATTTTCTTCTTCCCTCCCTTCTTCCCCTTGGAAATCCGCTTGTTCTTCCTGCAATTTCACACAGATCGTAGAACAACATGGACAGGGCAATATGGAGAATCTGATCTAATTGCACAGAACATGGAATTGGATTGAATCCGTGTACCGTACCCGACTGCCATTGTCGCGCCTGTGGAAATGGCCGGGAAGCTTTTCCTCTCTCGAGCTCGGCGGCGCCTGCGTCTTTGCTCGTCCTCACAACACAGCAAGGTGGGCTTTGTTACGGAGTATTATAACCCGATTAGCTAACCCTATTCGGATTGTGGGCTTCTTGAATACTCCTAAAAATACCGTCTTAATTAATATGGAATTGTTCATCTAAATATTTTGACTCATCAAATTCTCTCAATGTGTAAACCTAAACATAGTCATGTGTGATCTTGTTTGATTTGTCTTAACATATAGATTATTATTATATAATTTCTATAATTTTTTAATATACAAATTACAAGATAAAATGGATTAAAGAAGTGCATTGGATGGTGCACTTTCATTTTTGCACACCATCCAATGCACTTCTTTAATTCATTTTATCTTGTAATTTGTATATTAAAAAATTATAAAAATTATGTATAAATAATCTATATGTTAAGACGAATCAAACAAGATCACACATGACTATTTTTAGGCTTACACATTGAGAGAATTTGATGAGTCAAAGTGCTTAGATGAATCGTTCCAAAAGTCAAAAGTGGACAAACACTCAGGGACGGACCAAGTATTATTTAGATTTTTAGATAATTTTTATTTGAATGTTTGTTAATAATTTGATGAAATAAAAAATTCCATCCTTAGATGTGTTTGGATGGGGTAAAATATTTTTTTAAAATAATGATTTTTAGACACACTGTTGAGATTAGATTTCAATTTATACCCAAAGTATTAAAATCCATCAAAATCCATAATTTATAAAAAATCTTTTAAAATGTATTGATTTTTTTTATACTATTACATTTAGAAGGATATTTTAAAATCTGATTGGAATACATTTAATTTTTAAATGATTTTTTAAAATCTTAATTTAATACCTACAGACTTTTTAATCCAAAAAAATACTGCAGAATCAAAATTGGATGCACCCCCTTAGTGAGAGACGAACTCCCCCGCTAATAAGCGGGAGACTATTCCACCTCTAATAAAAAAATTAAATAAAAAGGTAGGCATATCTAGGGAATGATTAGGAATAAAAAGGACTATCTAAAAAGTGTGAAATTTATTTTTAAAATATACTACTATCAACGCATTGTATTTGGCAAATGCAAAGAGTGCCAATGGGTAAATCTGAGTTCAGCTCCTCGTAACTTAGCTGACAGACAACTATGTTAACCACAGGTGCGAGTACCAGCCCTCGGAGATGGGTATCTATCTTTTTTCTCTTTCAAGAATAGCAACAAAAACAATCCTACAAAAGTATGTTTGATCAACATCAAACATTATCATCTACATTTCAACAAAGGAAAGTTTTCTCATTCATTCTTCAAATTCTTTCTTCTTCAAACGCTATAACTTTGGTAAAAAAAAGTCAGATAAGAAGATTAAATCCAGACGATTGGAGTATATGATAAAAGCTCTAAAGTTTAAACAAGGTAATACAACAACAACAACAACCTAGTTGGATCCCACTACAGTAGGGTCTGGGGAGTGTGTGTGTACGGAGACCTTGTCCCTACTCGGAAGCAGGGATGCTGTTTCCAAGAGACCCATGGCTCAACCTGCACAAAAAATATGAAAACAAGATAATAATACTTCGTATTAATTTTGAAATATGAAATAGTAGTGTTTGGAGATTTTTGAAATCATGACTTTTAGTGATAAATGAAAGTGAACGGTAACGAGAAATGAATTGTGGCGTGTGGACAATTGAAAAAAATATCAAACGCTGTATTAATATCCTCCAAAATGTTGGAGACATCAAAACTTCCTCATTTAAGAGGGTTTGATATATAGAGATATAAAATCTAAAACTTGTCTAAATGTTTCGTCTTCACCAAATAGAATATGGAGGTACCAGCTGAACACATATATACTCCATCTGTCCTATCTTAATATTTTCAGTTAATATTACGGTCTCTAGATAACTTATGTTTGTAAGGTGAGTCAAAAAAAAGTACACGCCGAGAGAGTCACAAAGCGAAAGGCGACAAGCCGAGGATCGAGCCAGCACAGTCAATTCAAAAGTGGACGCCTGTACAAGAGTCGTTGTTGGCGTCGGCTTGGGTTGACGTCTCGGAGCATCCTATCGTTGGTATTAAATATTTTGTTTATATTTTTTAATATATGGTTTTTTTTATTTATATATTTGAGTTAAAAAATTCATTTATATAATTTTGTAAGGTTCCGAGCAATCGAAAGATGTGATGTGGGATTGTATCGAAGAGAATTTCTTTACGGCGATGGACAAGGACGTCTCCTATTGAGCCCGATGTTTATGAGGAATGCTCTCACTTCCAAAAGAGCGGGACGAAAAACGCCGATGTTCTCCGACTTGCCACAACCCGGTATCAAGACGACGGGCACCAAGGCAAGGTGCCCGTCGATCTTTGGAGAATTTTAAGTCGTTCATCGAAATGGAAATAACTCAACAATTTGAGGTTGGATCCTTGAAGGAAAGATCCCCCGAGGTTGAGGTCAATGACACGATTAGTTCGTCCGAGGAAAGGCCTCCCTACAAAGTAGAGGATTCGGATGTCGAGGACCCCATTCCACGGTCGATCGGAAGAAAGAAGGCAAAATCCATTGTCTCGGGTTCTGGAGGGTCCGACTCTATTTCTTCTAGTGACGATATCGGTCGGGCAATGATTGAACAATTTCGAGTGTTCAATATTAGAAAAGAAGAAAGGGAGAAACAAAGGCAGCAAAAGGAAGAGATCAAAATAATGAAAACCGACCTTGATACGTTATCGGGCTTCAAACATATATTTTACGAGAGAAGGTAAAAAGAGATCAAGACTAAATATAATTTGCCTTAATTTTTTATTATTGTATTTTTTATTAAATGTTCTTTTTTATTCAATGTAATTTTTATGAATTATTTTCATTTTAATTTTTTTATTTAATGAATGTATGGAGTAATTTTTTTATGAATTATTCTCATTTGAATTCAATTAAATAATTAGATTTTATTAATTTAATATAAGAAAATGTGTATTTAAAATGCAAAAAATAAAGATTTGAAGCCTCAGAACTTCAAACTCATTTCCAATAATTCTATGAGGCAAATGTAGCAGTGCAAAAAAGTTTGAAGCCCCGAGCTTAACGAGTATTACTCTCATAAACAACAAATTTTACTCCCAATATTAGTCATTAGAGCACAGAAACATAGCCATATCACATATGCATGAGCAGAGAGATTATTGCCCGGTAACCAAAACGCCGTCTGTCACAACACACGGGGAGCAACAGAAACTAAACACACTGAAACCAACCAAAAGGTCTAACTAACTATTCATATGCACGACGGAAAAAAACCAAAACAAATGAAACCAAAGGGAGAAGAAGGAAGAAGGAAGTCATGCTTTTTTTTTCTACAACGAAAGAGGAGTCACAACACATTATTAGGCAAAACGAAGGAACAAAGAGATATGGGTAGAGAAAGTTTCTTTTCTTTTTTTTTTTTGTTTACCATCAGAGAATTCAGAAGGCTGGGAGAAGCCACCCGCTAGCTCTGGCATGGTCGACGTAGAAAGCAAATTTCGCTCTGGCATTGGGGATGTCGAGCGCGAGATCATCGAGCCCGTCCTTGATCCTCCCGAACCCCTTGGTCATCTGGTTGATGGTGATCAGCCCCTCCTCGAAGCAGGCCCCTAGCAGGTCCAGCATCCGGTCGTTCTTCTTCTCCATCGCCATGACCAGCGCCTTCTTCACCACCTCGTGGTTGAAGAACGGCATGTCGAGGTCCCGGATGCACCGGCACGCCTCCCCCACCACCCCGCCGCTCTCGAACTCCTCCAGGAGCTTCGCGATCTTGTCCTTGGCGTCCTCCACGGCCCACCCCGTCCCGCCGCCCCAGCACCTCAGGATCCTCTCCCCGGCATGGCGGGCCGAGACGAGGGATTGGGCCATCCGGACCGTCTCGCCCCCGCTGCTGTTCGCCGCCAGCCGGCCGCCGATCTCCTCGAGGTTGAGCGGGGCGAGGACGTCGTCGACCACGGCCCGGGCCAGGAAGAGGGCCAGCTCGTTTGAGGCGTCGAGGATGTCGAGCGCGGTGTCCTCGGCGGTCTCGAGGAGCAGCACGAAGCCGTTGGCGATGTCCTCGGTCGAGAAGAGCTCGATGTGGAGGGCGGAGAGGAGGACGGACGCCATTTCCTTCTCCTTGTTCTTCCTGTCCATCGCGAGGGTGATGAGCCTCTTCAGGAAGACGGGGTTGTACTCCGGCGCGTTTATGTCCTCCAGGCTCCGGATGAGTTCCGGAATGTCGTCGGAGAGGAAGTATTCGTGAATGATGGTGACGGATTGCTCCTTGTATCGCCTCAGCCTTTCGGAATCGGGGTCGTGGCCGTTTTCGTCCTCGCCGGATGATTTGAGGAAAGCCGGGTCGAGCCACCCTTGGGAGATCGCCTGGTCCACGATGGACTGGAACAGTGCTTTCGCGGAAGGGATGTCTAGTGCAAGATCGTCAAGACTTTCGGCTAAGCGTGCAAAGCCCTTGAGCATCTGGCTTGAGCTTATCAGACCCTCCTCTGCGGCCTCCTTGAGAAGCCTCGCGATGGCCGGTTTGGCAGTGCGGATCTCCATGGCCAAGACTAGCGCTCGCTTCACTACCTCATGGTGGAAAAAGGAGACCCCGAGCTGCCGAATGCACCGACAAGCCTCGTCGGCGTCTCCACTCTCAACGTATTCCCGTAAGAGTTCGGCGATCTTCTTCTTGACCTCATCCACGGTGAGATGGGTGCTGCCTCCCCAACGCCGCTCCACGAGTTCGGCGTGGTGGGGAGCCAGAAGATAGCTCTTTTCGGCGGTTTGCAGCGCTTGGTATCCCTTGGAGGACTCCGGAAGCATTTTCCTTGCCCTTGCGATGAAAGCCGGGGGGATGATGTCGTCAACCACGGCTCTGGCAATGAACAGGGCGAGGAGATCCACAGCATCCAGAATGTCTACCGCCAGGTCATCGGCAGACTCGAGAAGCATGAAAAATCCCTGGCTAATGTGGGACGAGCTGATGACATCGGCGTAAAGTGCAGAAAGCAAAACAGAAGCCATCTCCTTTTCCTTGTCATGCCTATCCATGGCCATGGAAACAAGCCTCTTGACAAAGTAGGGGTGGTATTCAACTGAACCGAGCTCCCTAAGGTCAGATGCTGCAACATCCACATCACCGGTGCTAAAGTATTCTTCAACGAGAGACACAACAGATTTCTTGTACTCATCCAATGGATCGGAAACAGCAGTTCCAACGAGCTCATAAGGCTCCTGTGATAATTCAAGAAATTAGAGCACAACCTTGACACAAAGTTTTCTCTAACCCGTGTTCGTTTCACTACACAGAACACTAAATGAGAATGTATCTTCTAAAATTTTATGACACTATTGGTCAGACTGAAAACGTAGCTGGGTATGTTAAAATTACATTTCAACCCCAAGGAACTCAGCATAGCTGGTCTATTCAAGGAAAGTTAAAGGAAATTAGGGGTTCAGGGGGGTAGGGAGGGTGGCAAGAAAGAAAATAGCATATTTACCAACAGAGACAAATTTTACTCAGAGACAGAACTAACCTCTCCACTATCATAGTTTGGATCATTTCTGTCAATGTGGGAAACCCCATCAGTGTCAAGCAGCTTACCCCAGGTGCCTTTACCACCGCCTCCATCTATTGTCCATAATGGATGAAAACAACATTTAGCAGAACAATGAAGTACATGTGATGCAATTACCACATCCTAAATCTCCTTGCCGCTCCAGTCATCTAAATTTGCAATTGACACTCCCACTCATATAAGTTCTCACTATTACCCATTTAGTGAGTGCCAGTGGCAAATTGTAATGAGTGAACTAGCACTAGTCGTTAAGGTTGTGGCAATGGCATCACTCTAAAAGAATGTATAAGAATGTGTGTGTGTGACGAAAGCAATGCATTCTGACACAACTATCAAGTTACATCATGAAATAACAGTAAGTTTTTGTAGAGTACCATTTTATGACAACAAGAAAAACTAACATTCTTTTTCATTCTACTCAAAGGATGCACTAATAGTCACAGCATGCAAAATTCCAGAAAAAGAGACATCACCACATTTTCTTTTCGAAATAGCTCACAATGGCTTGGAGCCATGACTTGACAGTAACCACATTGACACATTGTCTTACAAACTGCTTACAGAAAACAAAAGATTCTTCCTATTTATAAGGTAAAGAGAAAAGGACGCCAATAGGAATAATTGCATAGCCCCCCCCCCCAAATGATAATATAGGCCCAACTCCATCTCTCCACTGGAAGAATTGATTGACCAATCTATTCACTTGACTAAATTCTTTCAATGACGTTCATCTAAAAATTTAAAAAGGGCTTTCACATCCACATTTAAGCATACGAGACCCTCATCAAATGAAACCTAGCATTCATTGTCAACTCTATTTTAAATTTTAAATCACATTCTTTTGGGAAATTTTACCCTGGACGTAGGTTAAATGTAAAAATGCAACTCTAATAAATGTTATACAAATCTATCCTCAAGGATATGTTTTTCTATATCCAAACTTCAGATTGCATGGCATTACTTAGGACACCCTACTTCTCACTAAACTTGTACGCAAGCCATATTCTACACTCATAAGGAAATTGGTAGTCAGCTAAGTATCCTTTACATTTTCTCCAACTCTCATTGTTATGTAATTGTGTTCATCATTAAATCATGAACAATACTCTACAGGCATCAATTGTCTTTTAATCTCATAGATATTCGAGACACCTGAAGGATATAGCAAACAACAGCGAAATCCACATCAATTTGTACTGAAGCATGTTTTCTAAGAAAAACTACAAAAAAATAAAAAAAAAAATACATATACATATAAACACCTCAAATGATTATCATCATGTTTTCAGAGGATAAAAGCTTATTTCAGCAGAGCTAGACAAAGGTGAGACATCAGTGAAAATAGAGAGATACAGCATGAGATTAAAATAAATAAATCTCATTTCGCATAGGACACAATGTTCAGCTCAAACATACAATATCTACTGTAAAGAGCACCTGTTTAAAGCTCCAATAAAGATCACGAATGTAATATATGGAGTAGAATTTTACCTTTCTTAACTTTTATGTGTTTCCCCGAGTGCGTGCGCCTTACATGCCTGACAGCAATCCCGGCGGTTGAGGCTTTTCCGCCAACAGGAGCCTTCACGTGGTGGTCGGATAGCAGTCCGGATGAAGATTTCGGCGAAGAGGAAAAGACATCCGCATTCTGAGTCGCCATTTTCATAATCTCCCTCTGTTCCTCCGTCAGAAATCCCTCGCCTGGTTCCATTTCCACTCGCTCACTGACAAACCCTACATAATTCATATCAACGTGTCTCCGCCGATAGAATCCAACACACACACACACACAAAAAACTCAAAATTCATCCGAACACACAAGCTTTTAAACAGATTTTTACCGTATTCCAGGCCACGCAGGCAAACAAGCGAAGAACACTACCGATTCGGAGCGCCGGACGGCGAACGGAGAAGCAGCGGCGAGAAAATCCTCCGTCCTTGGCTCGGATCTCGAGCCAAGAGCGAGCAGAAACTGAATCGAATGTCCCGATCGTTCCTCCGGATTCACACGCCGCGCGGCGCCAATTCAACCCTAGAGCGACGGCGGAAGTGCGCGCGAAGAAGTGTCCGTACGGCCCTGAGATGGGATTTGGTCGAAAGGGGAGATGGGGGGAACTGTGATGAAAGAAGAGAGGGGAAATGGATGAGGACGAAGAGGGTTTATATAGGGAGGCTTCTGTTAAAGGTACACGTCAGCGTAGATGAGGGCTACACGTGGCAGTAGAAGTATGAGTATTGTGACTAAACAATTGGACAAATTGTCATGGGCACCTAGAAGGCTGGATTTGAGTATTTCCCCTTTAAAAAAAGAAAAATGTTAGGGGTACACCATTTGGTGTACCCCATATGTCCCCCACCCCCTCCTTGCCCACTAAAAAAAGCAAAAAAATTTAAAAAAAAATAAGTAAATAAAAATCAAATAAAAATGCGTGGTGGAGAAGAGGGTGGTGTACATTTGGGGTACACCTTAGGTGTACACCTAGCATTGCTCTTAAAAAAAGACCATGATAGGGTGTTGTTACCATGGGTGTATCAAGCTTCGTAGAGATAATTATTATCTGGGTCGCATAAGAAGACTACAAGGATAAGAGAGAATCAAAAGAAGAAGAAGAAGAAATTTCAAGAGAAAAAATCAAAGGACTAGAATGGGAGGTGGAGTGGAGAAATAGAAAGAGGAAGAAGATAAAGAGGAGGAGAGGGAACAAATCGAGAGAAGAAATTGAAAAAAAAGAAAAATATGATTCGAAGGGGAGAAGAAAATGGAAGAAGAAATAGACGTGAAGGGAGAGGGATATCGGAAGATGAAAAGGTATTAAGAAAGTTGCAGAAAATTAATTGATATGAGGGTAGAATAGACTTTTAATGGTTTTTTTCTTTCCAATTAAGGAAAGTAGACAAATACTGCGGGGCGTCCAAAAAAGATGTACTGGACAAATACCGCGGGACGGAAGGAGTAGTTGTGTTACACAAAAGATGATATGATAAGGGAATAAATGCAAAATTATTTTAAAGAGCATAATTTTAACATATATTCCAATTGTCTCAAAAATAAATTTTTTATTTTCTTTTTCAATTGGCTCAAAATAAATTTCCCATTCTTTTTAAAAAATGAATTGAATGATCGACTTCAGTTTTTCCTACTCTGCATAGATTTCAGCCAATCAATTTCATTTTTTAGCTCCACCAAAAAACAAATGAGAAGTTTAATTTGAAACAGAGGAAGTAATAGGTATTTTGAATTTATTAATTATGGGCTTTTTTGCTTCTTCTCTTTTTTTTTTCTTAAATCTACATTTTAAGTGTTTTTTTTTGGGAAAATGAAGTTGAGATCCTAGTGAATTAGTTGTTGAAATTGAATACTATGCCTTTGAAGAGCCATGTTTGGCAAAACTTCATTGCAATTTCATTAGATGCCCTATTCTCCCTTTCAAATGCTAAGAATCAGACTAAAAACAAACATACAAACAAACAGGTATACAAACTTCATTTGATCACACACTTCCTTCAATTTATATACCAACAAAAAAAATTGTTCATTTCAATTTCACAATTCTCCTCTAGAAATTTGTGACCGAAAAGCGTCTTCTATAGCCAAAACCGTTCGTCTATGTAGAGGGAGGGCACGGCATGACCAACTGCAAATGTGCGTTTTCAGGATGGCGCTTCAATCCCAACGCCTGCATATATAAACCACAACCCATTGCTTTATACCCAAACTACCCTTGAACCAAAAAGTAAACGCAACGAGAAGTACCCCACAGTTCTTTCGATGCCAGTCTTGGATGTCATATTATGACTCTAGGGCCCTACGGCACGCTGTGGGGCACTTGGGCCTCAAAATGAGTCCTACCTCCCCTAGAAAACCCCTACCCCATATAGTAGAATGTAGCATTTCAACGTTTTTCGGGGGCAGGGGATTAGGAGAGTAGGACCCACTTCGAGTCTCAATGAAGCATAGTAAAGCCCTCAAATGGCTCGGTGTCGTAATATGACACTCATGCTTGGTGTCAAAGGATCATTGCTCTAAGAAGTATATATTGTGCAGTGGAAATTACTAACTGTTACCTTCCTGAATGGCGAAAGTACAGTCCTCAAGCAGTGAAACTTTGAAGGGCGCGGACTGGTACAAAGATAGGGGAGAGAAAGTGAAGAAACGGTTAAAATCTAACTAACTACAAGAACAATAAAAACCCGAAAAAAATCATGAAAAAAAACATATAAAAAAACTCACATGTCTTTGTTTCCAGGGCAGGAATTACTTGGCTGGCTGCAAGAGATGGGGCGAGGATCACCGGCATAAAAGGGTGCTTCAGATGATGTTTTTTTCAGGATTGACAAGGCAAAGTTTCTTGATGGCTGCTGCTGAAATGACCGAATCGCCCTAGAGTCATTCGACGAGAACGATCTCTTTAGATGATCCACCCTTTTGGGAAAACAGCCAGAATGACGACGGTCCTTTTCTTCCTCTGGTGTCCAGCCGTTGTCGGCCACACCAACGCTGAGGGCATTTCCGTCATTGTCTCTTATACTCCTCCTAACCATTTCCTTTTGAGAAATACGCTGCGAAGGGCACTTTTCCACAGATTTTCTAGAACCAAAATCAGACGCCTCTGACCCATCGCCTCCCAGTTCTAAGGAAAACTCTGGTTTGTGGCGCGCTCCACGCGAGCAACCAAACAGGCTTAAAGAAGGGTTTTTCGGTACGGGTCGGTTTCGGGAAATTTCGCCGCCCGTAAGATTGATTCTTAACTCCACATTGCAGCAGAGTGTCTGCTGAAGTGCATTGGCAATCAACTTCCATGACTTCTCAGCCGTTGACACATAATCCGGGCGAGAAAACTTCAGCTCAGCTATTGCTATACCTGAAATATTGAGTGAGTGAGTACAAGAGAAAACTTTACCGATATACCCTTGGTCCATTGTTGCATTTAAGGCGCAAAACTCCGTGAGAACGATATGTAATAATACAAGAAACGTGTAAATGACGTAAAAGCCCACCTTGCTCAAGACAAATGGATGACAAGCTCCCCCGTCTCAGCAAAAAGGTCTTCAACGAATTGGATTCGCACCTCGCAATAGCCCTACTCCATATAGACATCAAAGTTTCTTTATCATCATGCATTCCTAGCTGACACGATCTGCTGCCCTCGCGCACGTGAGTTGCAAGGTGCTTCAAGCTCTCGCCAGTTGAGGAAGACGTGCTGCAACAATTACCGCCATCCACCTCTGAAAAGAACGGACAATCAAGAAGTTTCAACATTTTATGTGTATAGCTCATGAACAAAATCTTGATTTATATACATTTTAGAAAAAAAAATGTTACAAACAAAGTTTAAAAAAAGTTACAACATTTTTGGGAAGGAGGGAGTACATATTTGCCAAAAACACAAAGCTACAAACAACTTATATACAACCCACTATTCTTTCCTTTTAAAAATGGGTAAAGGGCACTCAACTGTGCCATAAGACATTTGGGTCAAACCACACTAAAAGATTGAATCCAATGGAGTATCCAATTCGATTCAAGGCCAGAATTAGCATATGATTTTCTAATGTGGGATAGTTTAACAAAGAAAAATAGGATTTTTAACACTTTACGTTTATTTGTGTCGTACTCACCTTGAGGGTACACTGTTCTGCTGCCTACCCTTGCTTCATTGGAATCTGCTGAGGAACCGACAGAGCTAAGCTGCACAAGAGCAGCAGTCAACCATGTTGTTTGACTCTTTGACGTTCGCAATTGTTTCTCTGTTTCAGAGAGTATTCTCAGAGCATGGCTTAGTTGCGCCGCACTAAGTTCAGCTGCACGTAGAAGAGGAAAGAGAGAAAACATATAAAATAGTTGACACAACAATATATCAACTCTAATGATACATTCAAGTATGAATGAATGTAGACATAAAGTATGTCTACATTCATTCATTTTTTTTAAGTGTATCTTGAGACCATAACGGATAGTTAATATGGAATGGAGGGAGTAGAACGAGTTGTAATGGAAGTCGGATACTTACAAAAGCGGCCTCCAATGGCTCTCTTTCCAGAGAGAATGTCCATTATGAGATTTGCCAATTGTGATATCAATTGCATGGGATCTATGCGCGACCTCATCAGCTCTCTCGCGGTCTTAACTGTTTTACAAGTATCAGATGACAATGCTAGAAGCAGTAGCTCCATTAATTCCTCATCAGATACCGCTCCCGTCTGTGGCAACACGCAAGAGTTAAAAGTCACATTAATTCTTAAAGCCTTTAAGACTTTCATGATACATTCAAAACTATTGAATGAATGTAGACATAACGTATGTCTACATTCATTTGTTTTTCATATTAATAGACCGTTAATATGGAATGAAGGGGAAACTTATTAAGGCGATCATTCGGTCATATTTAGCCAAAACAGATCGTTTTCTTCACCAAACATAGTTTAAAAAAGAAAAGAGAATGGAAGAATAGCGAAAACATACTAGCTCGTAAACCAATGGCATTGTGATTCTTTTACCAAGCAAGCTCAGCTGCTCGAGCATCATCTCCCCATCGCGAAGCGAACCGTTTGATTTACGCGATACGAACAGCAAAGCATCATCATCAAACTCAACTCCTTCCTCCTTACATATTCTCCCCAAACGGCCCGCAATGTCATCCTCCTTGAGCTTAGGAAAGTAATACTTCTGGGCCCGCGATACAACAGCGCGGGGCAGCTTGTCGAGGTCTGGTGTGATCGCTACAAAGACAACATGTTGGTGGGAGTTGCCATTCAAAATAGCCCCCCAAGTTTCTTCCCCCAAGAGATGGCACTCGTCTAAGATGAAAACCTTGAACCTGGAGGACAGTGGGGGGGTGCACGCGCTCTTCGCAACTAGCCGTTTTACCCGTTCCGTTCTGCTGGTTTTCAAGCAGTTGATTTCCTTGACATCAACCCCTCTCCTTCCAGAGAAGAAGAGCACGCATTCCAGGCAAAGACCGCACGGTTTCTCCTCGTGAGGGGAGAGGCAGAGGCAGTTCAATGCAGCTGCGAAGATTCGGGACGCGCACGTTTTCCCGGTCCCACGCGGGCCATGGAAGAGGTACAAGGGATGTATCTGCTTGTTCGCGACGCTGCTCATAAGAGCCGTTGCAACGGCGTTTTGCCCAACCAGTTCGCCGAACATCTTTGGCCTGAACTTGTTCTGGTACAGACTTGTGGTTTCTGGGCATGAAGTTAAATTGTTAGGCTCCTGGCATGAAAGAAGTGGCTTCTGTTCAGCATCTTGTAGGAGGTTTGATCCTCTGAGTCTCGGCGTACCCAACCAGCATGAGCTGATCCCACACCCATTGCTACCCAAATCAAAACCATCAACTTCTTCTTCTTCTTCTTCTTCTTCTTCGTTCCTCTCGTGAGATGAACCCACGCCTTCATCGTACTCCTCGTTCCCAACCCAAGAGGGGGTTTCTTGGGAGACAAATCTTGAGTTGGGTTTTCTTGGACCATAATCCGAGACATCCTCGTTTTTCCCAAATCCTAAACTGCCCGAATCGGCATCCCAATTCGAGTTCTCGACGAATGCAGAGAGTTTGCCCATCGAATTTGTGGTGGGATCCCTAAGGGATTTCACTCTCCTCAGTGCAACTAGAGTTCTTGTGATGGGAATGTCGACCGAACGCCGCCTCCCATCCATCGCCTCAACAGAAAACTTAGAACAATGTGGTTCACAGCACTCAGAAAAAAGCTTGCAAAACTTTCAACCTGAAATCCAATTTCAGTTCAATCAAGAAACATTCTTGCTTCACATTGCTAAAGAAACAATAGGAAAACAGGGAAGAAGATGAGTCTTTAAAGACATTAAGAACAGGAAATCAGAAATCAAAACCCCCAATTAAGAAAACAAAATCATCATATGTAAAACAAAAAAGAAAAGAAAGAACTTTAAAAAAAACAAAAAACAAAGGGGGGTAATAACCTTAAATCCCTACAAAGTACACAGCCGAAAAGAAAAGTACTTACCTTTCATGGACAACAAAACCTTTAAGATTTCAAACCCCACTCTTATCTTCCATATCTGCAAACAACAACGTAATAAAAACACTAAAACAATTAAAAAAAATACACCAAATTATGAAGTAAAATCAAAGAATCGAACAAGAAAGAGATAAAGAATTGAACTTTAACACATTGACGCATTTTCATACCCTCAGGAAATGGTGCCCTCAATGGTGAGCCCAAACCAAATATTTCTATTTATATATAGACACACAAAGTGAATGTATAAAGGTAAAAATAAAATGTGCATAAATGCATGTCTAATTACCAAGAAAAGGTTAAAAGAAAAAGGGGAAAAGAAGTGAGACATGACAAAAAAAAGAGTGAGGAAAGAAGTCAAGGACAAACACACATGGAAACACAGAAAACCTGTGAAGTGAAGGGGGCATTGAATTTCACGAGAAATTTCGAAATGGGAGCGAGTTTTGCGGAGCACCCATTGAAAAATAAGAATAAGAGGACAATGGGTTTTGATTTTCTTGGGATTTTTTGACGGCTTGTTTGGTTGAAAGCTCTCGGCCAGGTTTGAGCACAGTGAGTTGTGGAAGGGGAGGAGGTAATTAAGAGCACTCTTAATCGTCTTCAAATTAGTTCTTCAAACCTTTTCTGTCACATTAACTTTAATTTAAACTAGAATTTCACTGGAAATAGATTTGAAGTTCTGGAGTTTTAAATCTCTAATTTTTACATTTTAGATATACATCTTCTAAATATAAATTAATAATATTTTATTATTTAATTTAATTTAAAGGAAAATAATTCATTAAATAAAAAATACAATCAATAAAAATACATTAACAAAATAAGATTTGAATAATAACAATAAAAATTTAAAAAATAAAAATTACATTAGTTTATGAAGAAATTATTAATTATTCGAGCGACTATAAAAATATCTTCAATCAAATCCGGGTTGTAATGACATATTGCAAACCGAAATAATTCATTAAATTAAAAAAATACATTCGATAAAAAATTACTTTAGATTTAAAAACAAAAAAAATTGCATTACTAAAAAAATTTAAACAAAAAAAAATATTACATTAAACAACAAAATATAGCGTAAAAAATTGTGTTTGTGTATATTTTATTTTTAAAAAAGAGAGTGAATAAAAAGAGTAAAAAAATTATTTTTTTAGTCTTATGGCATTAATGTAATTTTTTTGTTTTTAATAGAAGAACCCACACATTTTTTCTTCTTTCTCCATTAAACCTTTGATGCAAAAGTGATGAAGCCATGATAAAGCCTCTTGGGGGCAGTGTTTAACGCCTTTTTGATGTTAAAACCATTAAAATGTACTCGACGTTAGGACCATTTCCACTCCTATAAGTGGCATGCTTTAATTCGAATTAGAGTTCTTTTATAGTTTTCACCCACAATGAACTTCCGCTTCGATCTAGGACTCAAACTTAGATCAATTTTACTTGTAGGTAAAAAAAGAGTCTAATTCTATTTTTTTTCACGTCTAAGTTTGGAAATAAGAGTCTAATTCTACTTTTACATCACTAATTACATCATTAAACAACAAAATATAGCATAAAAAAATTGTGTTTGTGTATGTTTTATTTTAAAAAAAGAGGGTGAATAAAAAGAGTAAAAAAAATATTTTTTAGTCTTATGGCATTCATTAATGTAATTTTTTATTGTTTTTTAATAGAGGGGCCACACATTTTTTCTTCTTTCTCCATTAAGCCTTTGATGCAAAAGTGATGAAGCCCTGATAAAGCCACAGGGGTGGTGTTTAATGCTTCTTTGATGTTAAAACCAGTAAAAATGCACCGGACGTTAAGACCATTTTCAGTGCTTTAAGTGGCATATTTTAATTCGAATTAGAGTTCATTTATAGTTTTCACCCATACTGAACATATGCTTTCGTTTGGGACTCAAACTTGGATCAATTTCACTTGTAGAAAAAAAGAGTCTAATTCTACTTTATTTTCACGTCTAAATTTGAAAATAGGAGTCGAATTCTACTTTTACATCACTAATTACATCATAAAATAACACCACTAATTTTAGGGAAAACTAAAGTAGGAATAAAATATTGAAAATATACTAAAATAAGACTTTCATGTTTTTATTCCTGAAATAGAACTTAAAATGCATTTACATTACCAAACATTGTCAGGTACATTACCAAAAAGCATAGTAAAGTGCACATAGTAATGTGCACATGTACAGTACCACATTACAATCACATTATCACAATATAAAGTCCTATTTCGGAAATAAAAACATGAAACTCTTATTTTGATACTTTTTTCTATGTTTTAGTCGTATTTATGGTGATTTTTACAAATTTTACAGATAAATATACAACCATTGTCAATTTTGATTTCATTAGTGATGCTAGGTCAAAATTAACAAGACTAGTTTAACACATAAATATACACCCATGGTCAATTTTCATGTCATTAATGATGCTATGTCACGCTACCCTCTTAATTCAAGTAGATTACTACTCCCTCCGTCCGGAAATATTCTTTACATTTGACTTTTCTTGATCAAAGTTTGTAAATTTTGACTATGATATGTGGAAAAAATACATTGTATTACGATATAAATTTAATATGAATATATTCATTTTCAAATATAGTTTTTAAATATCAAATTTTTATAAAATATATCCATGTATAAATAAAGATATTAGTGATCAAAATGCAATCTTGAAGATTGTAAAAAGTCAAATGAAAAAAATATTTCCGGACGGAGGGAGTAGTAAAGTTCATTAATGGTGGTAAACGCATACCACCTCTATAGTTCTACGTATTAATTAAGTCTGTTTTTTAATTGAAATTTCGGAATTTCACGTTGGAAGAAACTAAAAGAAGTTGTAAGAAATTGGAAGGAGTTAGAAAAATTAAAGAATTAGAGTGCTAAAAAATTACTCAATTAAATAAACATCAAATAAATATGTAGGAAACTCTAATTTTAGATATAAAAAAAAGAATTCATCTTTGTCCATGTTTGAGGCAGTATGTTATAAATTTGGATATATAATGTTATTATATATTCATCATATACAAATACTATATAAATGCTTTTTTAAAATCGTTACTGTAAGAAACTAGAAAAAGTTAGAAAGAACTGGAAGGATCGAAGTTGAAAGAAATTGAAAAAAGCTGAAAAAAATTAAAAATTAATTTTTCCAAAAGAATAGGTCTAAGCAGGAGAGTATTAAAGTACTATTTTTTGTATAAATTAATTAACTAGGAATAGAATTACTCCCTCAGACAAACATAATGATACATTTTAAGGATGTAAATTTGTATAAGAGTACTTCCTAATAGAATAGTAGATTAGGGGCCTGTTTGGAAATATTGTTAGAGATTAGCGTTAGCGTTTTGGATAAAATTTTAACGGTGCAGATTACTTTGAAAATGCTAACGCTAAACGCCGCCCGTAGATAGCCTTTTCAAAACGCTAACGCTAATCGCTAACGATATTCCCAAACATGCTCTAGGTTTACTTAAGAATAATGAAAGATACACGAAGTGTAATAAACTAACATTATCATTGTACTATTATTAATATTTCATAACATCCCCAAAGTTCTGAAATGAGGCGAAGCTTAATTGGAGGCAATATTCCTAAACCGTGGAGACGATAACGCTTTTGTGAATAAGTTACAAGAAGTAGACACACAGATCTTCATTACGTGATGAGCAAGTTTGCTGAGTTTTTTTCTAGTGAGAGTATTGATGATTGAAACGAGGGCGAGAAATTTCTTTCTTATTCTATTTTTGTGTCATTCTTTGTTTCTCCATCGCATTCTATGCTCTCAAACTTTCCAATTCATCGATCATGCACACGAACTAGGTAAGTTGGCAGCTATATATGAGGATTGTTTAGGAAGGATACGAGACTATACGAACTTTTGTAAAGTCGTTGAGGAAGGAATAAGGTAGGGTTGAGGCTCAGCGAGCGGGTAATAGCTATGTCGCCTGCCAGGAGCGAAGATAGAGAACTCTAGGTCACCAAGAGCGATGCTTTGATACCAAGTTAGAATAATTGAATAATAGATTTTCTCAAGAATAATGAAGGATACAAGAAAATATATATGAAGCATTTCTACCATAAGTAGAAATCAATTCAATAACAGAAGTTGACTGATAAACTAACATTACCATTGTTAGTACTTTAATCAATATTGTCTAACACTTGTTGATGGGGTTTAGAACTCGGGACCTAGGAGACTAGCTAGAAGAGTATCGAACGAGTATTGAGTGTCTTTGGTTGTAGGAATATAGAATGTATACTAGCTTAGCAGCAAAAGTGAATGTATTTTCTCCTCCCGAATAGGAGTAATTATACAATATATATTTGGGCTTTCCAGCCGTTAGCTACAGCCTAGCGAGCCGGGCCTATTAAGGTCAAGCCTTTCGATAGACGGCGCCAGCAATATGATTACAAACTAGGGTAGCTACAACTAACCGGCAGATAATAGGATGGTTACAAACAATCGTAAAGACAAGTGTATCGGGGTGTCCAATTGTGGGTCCAATGATTGGACAAGGCATACAGGCTCCCACGGCGCAGTGGGCCCATGGTGCTTAGCTGGCAGCAGAGGCCGAGCATACATGCTCAGTTGTTGGAGGCCATGGAGGGTCCGACCGCATCCGTCCTGGGTCTAAGTGGATGTATCCTAGTGATCGAGCAGGGATACACATCCGAGTACGGTTGTCACCTTGAGGATTTGGCTTTTTCTCAAGTCCTGCTTAGCCGAGCGGGGGTCTTTTAGTCGAGCGCGTCCGGATCGTTCGATTAGCTGGGCTTTCTTGGGCCCCTTATTCTGTTGGATCGGATACCCCCATTCCAGGGTATCCATCACTTGTTCTTTACGACCGAAAAAGAAAAGTTAGATGTTGGAAGAAACTTGAAGACACTATAACAATTAGAAAAAAAGAGAAGAAAACTAGAAGAAAGTCTAAAATTTTGAAAGAACTTCAAAATTTTATTTAAGCATATTTTTCATATTTTTCTATTATAGTTGTTGTTGTTACATTATTATTATTATTATTATTATTATTATTATTATTATTATTATTATTATTATTATTATTGATGGATTCTAAGGATGGAGGTAGTACAAACTATAGAGAGCGACCGAAAAGGGCTGCAGACCTGGACGAATTAGGGTGTTACAACTGAACACTCGGTACAATATTTGGAAAC